GTCACAAGAGTTGGGGAGGAAACACATGTGAAAAAAAAATGAATGGAATAGAATAAGCGAACAAGACATTGCAATACTCCAAATGTGATTCACAACACCTAGGCACTGTGGACCGTATTCTACTGCCCTCCGTAAATTTCATCACTTCCGACTGGATCTGCATGGCCAGTTCCCTGGTGGGTGACAAGATCAGCCCAACGGGCCCATCCCCGGGGCGCAAGGGAGGCTGCGCATTGATGTGAACGATGCCAGGCAGGAGATAAGCCAAGGTCTTACCTGAGCCTGTCTGGGCAATGCCCACCATATCTCGGCCACTCAAGGCCGTTGGCCATCCAATGCCTTGGATAGGAGTCGGCGCATCAAATCCAGCACTCCTGACGCTCTGAAGCAACTCTTCCGGCATGCCAATCTGGTCAAACTTCATGACAGGCCTTGGATGAGGTTTACGACCTTCGATGTTGGCATTCAACTCCTTCAAAGCCTTCTCAGCCTGTTGGGTGCTCATTTTCGCCACATCTGGATGCTCATTGTAGAAATTCTTTTGGAAGCTCACGAGCTCCTCCTCCTGCCAGTTGAGCTGCCTCAAGTTCTGGCCTATATGGCCCATGCGGTCCGGCATGCCACCGGTCAGGGGGTGCTGCGGGCTTCGATCAAAACCGTCGTTCCCAAAACTGCGGCCTCCGAAGCGACCACCCTCAACGCGGCCACCTGAGGAATGCCCAAGAAAAAGTTTCTCTCAATTCAAAATTCTAACATATTCTAACCTGTTGTAAAAAATGTCAATGGCCGCAGACCCGCAGTCTAACAGTAATAAAGGAAGATAAGAATCCCTCCTCTATAAGCTGCTTGAAGCATTTGATTCACCACTAAAACCTGGCGGCTTTGATATTTTGGGCACTGTGCTGCTCACCTTCAAAGCGGCCACCACCTTCAAAGCGGCCACCACCTTCGAAACGGCTACCGCCCTCGAAACGGCCACCGCCCTCGAAACGGCCACCCCCGCGGGGCCTGTCGCCCTCATCGAAGCGAGCGGGTGGCACTGGTGCGCGAGGGCCATCCGACAAAGCCCGAGCACCACATCGCCAGACGTGGGGCAGCAACAAATATCGCCGCTGGACAGCGGAAAGGCCCACAGCCATTGGGTTCTACGAGGGTCGGAATGTGTTCCGGCCTGAAAAGTGCCAAAAATCCAAGACTTGGGCCAAAGGGGCCAAAGCCAAGAAAGGAACTCCAGTGCTGGCTTCAGATCTCCACACCTGCACCAGTCAAGCCGGCCAAGAACCACTGAACCAACAAATACTAACTGCCAAATGCAAAGACAGCAGCACTACTGCAACGCGATTCCGCAACACCACGGAGACAGCAGCGCTGACCTGGGAAAGCCATCGGCATTTTCCCATGACGAGATCTTGGTTTCAGATGGCTTGAGCAAATTGCGTTGTAATTTCCCGACTGTTGCCATGCTAAGCCCGATACTCGCAGAGTCGACTTCCTGCAGGCTCGTGGAAAACGTGATGACAGCAGGACATCAAATGTTCATTCCGGTAGGCCCCACAGAGCCATTCTTAAATGGTACCCGCTGTGAAGAAATTGATGATGATGTTACTGTTAGTCTTCCCCAATATGATCAGCTTCACCCCCAAGCACCCTGATGTCGACCTGAAGTCCATGCTTTGTTGGGATGTTCACCTACTAATGCTGTTTCGGAATCTTTTGGATGGTCTGATTGCCTATCTCCAAATGATAATCTCGTTGGGGTCTGTCCAAAAATGCCAACATCTGGGATACCAAAATTGCAACCTTGACATACTTCAAAGAAGGAAATTATTGAGAAACTGATAAGGGTTGGGGTACCGTGGGGACCTATATTCAGGCAAGGCAATTTCCCTTCTACCCTTCCACAACTCTGGGAGAAACGCTTGGTCCTTTTGGAGCTAGCCTCGGGAAAACACACCATGATCAGTGATGATATGAGACTTTATATAACCCCTTGAACGCTGATATGACTGAGTCTGATATGGGAGGAAAAAAACACTTCAAGAGGGCCTGTTTGTAGGATGCCTTGTATATGTGCCATAAAATTGATCCAAAATCTGCAGTTCTTGGCAGCTTGGGCTGCCCAGCATGTGATGTTCCGACTCCAGGACCACCAGACCACAAAGGCACCCGATGGGCACCGCTGCGGTGTAAATCAACCATCACAGTGGCCTCTGGGCTCCAGAAATGGCAGGCTATGACATCAAAGTTGCTACTTTAGTAAAGAAAATATGATGAACCATGGAATTTTCATGGATTTTCTCCGAGGTACCTTGAGGTCAAGAAGCTTATTGGAAGAGCCAGCAAGCAATATATTTTAGGATGTTTGAGGCGCATTATCTCCATGCGTGTTTGAAATGATTAAAGCATTTGCCCTTGCAAGCACTGGGGCAATTCCTCACCAAGTATCTCAAAACTCTCTTCCATGCAATCCCCAAGTGTGAACTCACATTTTCACTTGGAATTTGGACATCGGACATAATTTGTCCCCTTTCCCCAATGGCCATGGGTTCGATGAGCCCTTCAAACATCCCAGTTAGACAGAGCCCAGCCTGCTGGGCAGCGTCCGCGGCATGTTGCACGGTCAGCCGCAACCTTCACAGCACTTCAGATTTTTTGGATGTGCAAGATGGCTCCCAAAGTGCCGGCTCCTGTGATCCTGCGATCTAACAAGCTGCAATCATCCTTCATAGAAAAGTGCGCACATCCTATAAATTGATCTAAGTTGTCCAAGACATGAATCCCATCGAAAACATGTCCCTGGAGGGAAACCGCGCGGGTTTAGGGGCGTCGCCTCGGCACGTGGCCTGGAGGAGGACCTAAGTGTTGTGGATTGCTTAGAGCTGTGCAGTACACAATTTGTATATATAATCATATGTATATATATATGTGTGTGTGTGTGTAACTGTATATGTATGTGTGGGTGTGTGTGTGTGTCTAATGGAATTATACACATATGCTCAATATGCATATCAAGTCGAAAACATCACCTCGACTCTCTGACTTGAACCCAGGTGGGGCCTGATTGCTGAGACTGAGCTTAGCACCGCGTCCTGCAAAGGGGACTTGCTCTCCATATGCCTGAGAGTGTGACCCTTCCTTGATGGAATTATGGAAGACACCCAGCTGTCACCACATTGGACACTTGAAACGCATGTTCAGCCTGTTCTACCACAGGATAGTGGAAGAGGATGATAGTTCTAAAATCGATTTATGAAATTATATTATATTGCTTAAATTTGTAAATACAGTCGGTCACACGCCCATCTTGCTACTAGTGCAAATCTTTCTGAGGCTACTGCAACCTGGAAGGAGTACGCAGGATCCTGTGCAGCGAGCACGTAAGTAAGATAAGGTCGTTTCTGACGCGTTGGATTGTGAGTAGCTGTCCATTCCAGTATGGATCAAAACTGGTGAAAGGCAAACAGCGGAAAACGCATTCTCCGCCACATTCGGAGCAAGCAAACACACATCAACTTCAGTTGATCAATGAGCGATTAGGGAACTCGTTGTGCATTTCCACATGTTTCTCGTGAGAAGAGCTACCACTTTAATGCAGCCTCTCCAGCACCTTCCATGCTGGCACTCAATCGCACCTCGAGCTCAGCGTTTTGCCGACCCATGCCCAAGCACAAAAACCATACAAAGATATACAACAAAAACCCACATAATATATATATATATGCATATATTTACAATATCCCATCATGGGATATTAAGAACACCATTGATTGACAGGAATTCCCACCATGCATCCAGGTCTTGCTGCCCCTTGTGCTCGTCACTGAGGAAGGGACATCCGGATGTTTGTTGGCCAACATGTGGCAATGGCTGCTATCCCTCACGGTGACCTGGGCCATGTCGCATGGCCAGTCACCTTGACACCTTGTCCAAATTCCTGGGGAAAGCAGACGTTCGAAAGCTGATTGTCGCAAAATGATGAGCAATCTATCAACTGATGTCATATCTCGGGAATCGCATTTGACCCCAGCAGACTAGAATACTCACCACTACCTCAGGAATAACCCCCGCGGCAGCCATTGTTTTAGCCAGCAAGCAGCCCAAAATGGCCAAAAGTGCCTGCCGCTCTGCGTGAGAGCTGCGATCGTGGTCCACAAAAACTGGCATCAGTTGTCCAGAAATGGTGTGTTTCATTGCCGGACTCCACTCAATTAGATTTCCGACCGCATGCCTGCCGAAACCATGGCATGTATATACATGAAAGGAAGACATTATTTTTTGGGGGGGATCATTGCGAACAAAACACCCTGCTCTCTTAAACCAAAATAGAAAGCTACAGGAACAGTGCCCAGTGGCCGGTTATGACAAATGCTCCCCTGACGAGTTTCCAGTCTGTGAGCTTCACAGGACCCCATCTTGCGAGCAGACCTGGAACCAGTCAGAGCAGCTTGTTCACTGGAAGCTCGTGTGTTGCGTCGCACCTCCCATCGGAAATCTTCCAGCCAGCGAAGATTGGATGGATGCAAATGTAACTCTTGGAGTGCCTGAGACGAGATATGCAAGCTGCATCATATCAGTGTGTACGGTACTGGTCAAGATACGGGACCCTCCGAATTCGTCGAACAAGTCTGAATCCAGTGGGTGTAGGAGTCAATTTCAACGCATTGACACATGCCCCATCACCATCTAACCTTGCAGAATCACCACATTTCAAGAACAGTGGTTGTTTAAGATTTATGTCAAATAGCAACCTGCACATAGCAGGTGGGTTGGTGCCTCAAAATCCCGGCCTTCCAAATGATATTGTGCTCTGGATGGAAATCCCCACGATCCTAAACACCAGCAACTTCCCCATTCGTTGAAACGCACATGGTTAAAGGCACAAAACACGTGTCAACTCGGCTCAACTTGGCACTTGTTCGCGGTGCCCCTTCATCAACCAGAGTTTATGATAACTTTAACCCATCCAAATGTTAGGTATTTATGTACTGTTTAAATTCACCAAACTCGCGGCTGAAATTTTGCCGTCCCGCAATCACCCATTTCCATAGCTAAATCACCTCCAAAATTGGCGGCTGTTCCAGCCACCCATGGCCATGGGATAAACCATCCCATTTTTGGGTAAACCGTTAAACCTCACTGCGAACCCCAAAAATTCATGGTTTTCAAAGTTCACCAGTCTCTTCAATTTCACAATTTTCAAATTTCAAGTTAGTTTTTTTATTGTTTTTTGTCTCCAGTGCCTCTCAAAAAATGGTTGGATCTGCCTAAAATCTCCAGAACCCCTGGGCCTCCCAGGTGAAGTCCCCCAGGCTGAAGACCTCCAGGTCCAGCTGCCCCGAGCCCATCCGCCGCAGCAGAGGACGGAGCGTCCGGGCGCAGCGCTGCCGCTGCGTGTGGTGCAGGCGGTCGTGGCGAAGGAGCAGCTCCAGGGCTGAGACTTGGCGCCCTGGGAACAGGGGTTGCTCCCAGTGAAACTTGGTAGGTCAAGAGGTCAAACTAGAAAATTCACTAGCTTTGTGGCTATCATTTACCAATAATAGGAGCAACCTTAACCAAAGGATGAAAAGTGGGGATGATCTCCAACACCGCAAGGTGATATGTAATCATTTAGCTTCAAATCCCACAATGTTGCTGGTGTCCACAAACATTAAACAAAAGAAAAAAAAGTGGAGAGAGTGCCACTGGATACAGTATCTTGGATACCCTGCATTTGAAGTTGAGCTGCGCATGATGTGGAACTGTCACATTGCTGGCTAGAAAATAAGCTACCATCAAGCAAAATATCCAGCCAAGGGTTTACTCGGCAAGTCTTCTCCAACTCTGCACAGTGATATTTTATCAATCAATTTCAACATGTTTAACATGTTTCAAATCTTCTAGTTTTTGGACCCTTTCACTCAAAACCTCCAACAGCCACTGTGTTCCCACAGCTTCCAATATTTTTTGGGGACATATTTTGACATGTTCTTAGCACCCGCCTTCCGGTTGTATCTGTCCTTCACTCAGCTGAGCCATCGCTTCATCCAAGAAGCGGATGGCGGGTGCCGCAGCCTGTGCTTCCAGGATCTCCATGAGCTCCACAGCTGTCACCGTGTCGGCCGGAAGTCGCTGGCCACGGATCCAGCTCAAGAAGTCCTTGGCGAAGTGGGGATCTCCCTCAAACGCCATAGTTTATTATCAATGCCCGCTTGAGGATGAATATATATATATATGTGTGTGTGTGATTATTGCGCTGCTTTGGCGTTTTGTGGCAAGTTCCGAACCATCCCATCCACTTGCCAGTATGCTGTATGCTATTGATATTGGGACATCCAACTATCAGCAATTGCAATTCCCGTTTGTCCCAAGGCTCCATGACTCTGGCCCACTCAGGAGCCGCCAGCATTGCCGAAGTGAAGGCATTCATGGCACTGAGGCCCAAGGGTGATGATCCCATCCTCAGCCAGCTGACTGAAGCCTTCCAGGCCCGAGCCTTGGCCATGGCGTTCATCAGCGCATTGCCCATGGGTCCTGGCACCATTCTTCTGCCAGAAGTTGGCAGCAGCCGGATACACCATCGCCACTGCCCTGCGCTGGCGCAACTTGCGATGGTGGCACCCTGGGCCACCAAGCCGTCTGTTGAAAGATGAGCTGAGCAGGGCCATGGGGAGGTGAAGATGGAGAGCGCCGTTTGCCACAAATCCGCGCGGTCGCATAAACTCAGCACCACCCCCAGCAGCTGCTGATCCAGCTGCAGCTGATTTTTGGAAAGCTCTTGGCAGAGGTGCAAGGCTTCTTCTCGCAGACCTGCCCCGCGCAAACAGGCTAAGACATTGCCAGCAAAGGAGGTCTGGATCCTGCACTCTGGCCCCAACATCTCAAACAGCTCCATGGCCTTCAACCACTGCTGTGCCGCCTGGAGCTTCCGAAGCATCGCGCCAAAGAGGCTGCCAGCTGAAGTGGACCACAGCTTCATGCCTTCATCCTCCAGTTGATTCAGCTGGTGGCAGCCCTCAATCCACGCCCCTTGGGGCTTCCCCTGGATGGCATCCACCAGCAGTGCAGCATTGCCCAGGTCTAGCCTCAAGCCCTGCAAGCGCAGCAGGGCAAGGCTCCAGGGCGCTGAGCGTGTGCGAAAGCTGCTGAGGATGCTGCTGTAGCAGGTGCCATCCACTTTCTGAGAGCTAATCCTCAGAGGTGTCCCAACAAGCCCAGGGAGAATGGGACATGGGGCCATGCACCGACACTGCAAATGCCAACCGATTGAAACCTTCAAGGGAAACCTGGCACCAATCCTTGAATGGCCAACATCTCTGTGATGACTGTGATGCAACTTGGTAAAAGGTGGAAAGCAAAGCTCGAAGCAGGACAATTTTACATATTTCACCTTTGAGCCCAGGAGCACATCCCGGGCTATCTCGCAGGCCTGCATCCACTGATTTTCAAGGCCCAAGCCCTCAAGTGCCACGCTGAAGGTGACGACATCGGGTCGCAAACTGCCCCAACTCATCCCTTTCCCCACGCCATGCAGTGCTTGCAGCCGTGACAGTGTCAGATCCCAAAACCCGGAGCAACGGCAAGCACTCAAGAGGGTGTTGTACAAAATCAAGTCCACTTGCAGACCTGTACTGTAGCAGGGACTGTGCATGCTTCCCACTTTCGCACAACAGAACCATATTGAAAGTATGTCTATATGTGTGTCTATATAAATTAATATTATATATATATACGTAACCCGTATAATGATAATGTATTATATACATACTCTCTCTTACCATATCTCCCTCTCTCTCTCTCACCATTCTTCCAACAGCTTTGTAAGTTCACGGACAAAAAACACGGCCAGATACTGCTGCCCGACCAGCCTTGATTCAACATGAGATTCATGGGGATTACCAGGGCAACTTGCCATTGGTTTGCTCTTTCACAGGCACTGACGGCAGCAGTGATGGCTGCAGATCCTTGAAATCGCTGGGGCCCTCGAGATGCCATGGCCATGGCCGTCATGGCCCTTTGCCACAGCTGCGCTCGCGCCAAGCTACTCAATAGGAAGGTGGGTGGGGCGCTGCGTTGCCCTTGGAGCTTCAGGTTTTGCATCAACGCCATGCAAGGCTCCCATGCAGTTGAGCGACTGAAGGGGCCAGAGACAGCTTTGAGAGTGACAGCATCTTGTGGCATGTTGGGCTCTTGCAACAGCCATAGGGCGAGGTCCCAGTCATCCTTTAGCGCTGCTGACATGTAGGCGTTGCGCAGTTGCAGGTTGCCAGCTATCGGAATTGCCTCTTGCCTCTGTGCTTCCAGAAAGGTGCGGGCCAGCCACCACCTTCCCTTGCAAAGACTGAAAAAGGCCGTGCACGTGAAGACATCCAGCTGCAAAGTTGCGCGCTGACAAGGCATCAGAAAGCTCAAGGCTGATTTCCAGGAAGTATTCAAGCGTGTTCCCTTCCGTGCGCTCAAACAAGTGTTAAGGCTGATCGTGTCTATCTTCACCCCTCTCAAACACGCTTCCTCGAAAAGGTCCAGAGATCTTTGCCAAAGACTTCCCTGGCTGTAAGCTGCCATGGCAGCATTGAAAGTAAATGTATTTGGTTCAAGCCCCAGGTCAGGCAACTCGCACCAGAGGGATATTGCATCTCGCCAACGGCTCTGTCTACTGTGCTCACTAATGGAACTGGTGCACTGGCGAATGTCTTCACGTGTTTTGCCAGGCAATTGTTGACGTGCCTGCGCCCGTCCTTGCAGAGTCGTAGAAGAGCAGGTCTCCCGCATTCTGATCCAGTCATAGCTTGGCCATGCCCACCTCCAACCCAAGCGCCGTCTACAGGTTAAACAGCTGCTGCGAAAGCAAATATGCCAAACACGTGCTGCTGGCTCCTTTTTCAAGAAAATTTGATCCTGTGGCCATGCTTGCAATGGAGAGGTGGGCTCAAAACATGCTCTAGCCTGGGCACCATTTGTAAACGAGGTTGTAAATACCCCTACTACTGAAGGGGTGAAGTACCCTAGCTATAACGGTTACATAGCGGTTACGGTCGGTTGCAATCCTGGCCCCTCAGTCCACGGCCGCTAGGCTGGCAGCTTCATAGTCGATGCAAACACAAAGCAGTTCACGTGACCTGCCACTGAAATCCACGCTGGATGAATCCCACAGGTGCAGAATTGTCCAAATTGTTGGCAAAATGGATTGCTATTTTACTCGTAGATTGGTAAGTTGCTGGTCTTTCCCCCTTCTGTTTGGCATCACTTTAGGCTTCAATGCAACCCAAGCTGTGAATGACCTGATTTCTTGGGCCCTGGCGTGCCACACTTCAGAATCACTGGGTATGCTCCTCGCCAGGAAATGGATCACTCACAAGATGTGACAAATAGTTTCAGCCTCGTGGAAAAAAACGCTTGATCGGACATTCGTGTCATGGTTCACCCTAAGGTGTGAGACGGGACCGCCCGCCCACCATGATTTTGTAAGAGAGCCGGCCACTGCCAAGAAGCTAATTAAATGCAGTCCTAAAGTGCATGTTAATATAAATATAGCCGTGTATGTACACACTCGCAACCATGGGCGCTGCAGGGCGCCTGGGTGTTTTGTTGTTTTTTTTGTTTTTTTGTTTGCATGTTTCTGTTTTTGTTTGATGATGGGGTGGGGTGGGGTGGGGTGGGGTGGGGTGGGATGTTAACGTTCATGTTCATGTTACGCTGATGATGTTATGTCATGGGGCCGGGTGGGGTGGGGTGGGATGTTAACGTTCATGATCATGTTACGCTGATGATGTTATGTTGATCATGGGGCCGGGTGGGGTGGGGTGGGATGTTAACGTTCATGTTCATGTTACGCTGATGATGTTACTTTGATCATGGAGTGGGGTGGGGCGGGGTGGGATGTTAACGTTCATGATCATGTTACGCTGATGATGTTATGTTGATCATGGGGCCGGGTGGGGTGGGGTGGGATGTTAACGTTCATGTTCATGTTACGCTGATGATGTTACGTATGGGGTGGGGTGGGGTAGGGTGGGGTGGGATGGTAATGTTCATGTTCATGTTACGCTGATGATGTTACGTTGATCATGGTTTGGGGTGGGATGGTAACGTTCATGTTCATGTTACGCTGATGATGTTACGTTGATGATGGTTTGGGGTGGGATGGTAACGTTCATGTTCATGTTACACTGAAATTGCTCCATGGTTGAAGTAGTTTTTGAGAAGTGCAAAAACAGACGTGCAAGGCTGCATGCGCAGTTACACTGGGAAGTGCGCGCAAACCCCCTTAAAACCACCAGGCGCCTCTCAGCGCCATTCCCTAAGTAGTTCAGTAGATAACTACATAACTGGATAGATGGATGGATAGAGATAGATAGAGATAGATAGAGATAGATAGAGATAGATAGAGATAGATAGAGATAGATAGAGATAGATAGAGATAGATAGAGATCGAGATCGATAGAGATCGATAGAGATAGATATAGATAGATATAGATAGATATAGATAGATATAGATACATATAGATACATATAGATAGATATAGATTAATAGATAGATATAGATTAATAGATAGATATAGATTAATAGATAGATATAGATTAATAGATAGATATAGGTAGATACAGGTAGATATAGGTAGATACAGGGAGATATAGGGAGATATAGGGAGATATGGATAGAAAGAAAGAAAGATAGATAGACACATACATACGTACATACATACAATACCATACCATACCATACCATTCCATTCCATTCCATTCCATTACATACATACATACATACATTCATTCATTCATTCATTCATAGGTAGGTAGGCAGGTAGGGAGCTAGGTAGGTAGGTTGGTAGATTGGTAGATTGCTAGATTGATAGATTAGATTGATTGACAGATAGATTGATAGATTGATAGATAGAGAGATAGAGAGAGATATAGACAGATGGACAGATAGACAGATAGACATATAGACATATAGACAGATACACAGATAGATAGAAAGACAGGCAGACAGAGAGACCACAAAGAGACAGACAGCCAGACAGACAGACAGGCAGGCAGCCAGCCAGCCAGCCAGGCAGGCGGACAGACAGATAAGTAGGTAGATCGATAAATCGATAGATGGATAGATGGATAGAGGGATCGGTAGATGGATGAACCGATGGATCGATAAACAGAGATAGCGATGAAGATATAGACAAAGATAGGTAAAAATAAATAAAGGTAATAAAGGTAGATAGACAAAAATGGAAAATATAATACCTCGAATGTCCATTTGGGTGTGTTAGTCAAATTCTTTCATGATCCCAAAATATCCCAAATATTTGGAACTTGGAACCATCAAGTATGGGTCAGTCAGCATCAATCGCCAGGCTCTGTCTAAGATCCACACCAATTCGTGATTCCTGAAGTTCGAACGGGGTGCACCTTGCTGGTGGCATGCAGGAGCTGCCACGTCATGTAGCCATCGCCTGTTTCTTCACGTTAAACGCTAACCGTTATAACTTTTATAACCCATAACAATTCATCTGTGTCAGTCGCAAAGCCCCAAACCAGGATCTTTTGGTTGGAGTTGAGTCGCTCAGGTTTCGCACGGCCACCTCCACACATCGGGCTGCAAGCTACACGTCATTGCAAATCTTGATGCATGTCCAAATCGTCACATCAAGACAGGCAACCCCAAAGATCGCAGAAATTGCCATTTTTGGTGAAGGAACCACTGCGTTGCATCTTCCTTTAATTCTTGGGCATGCCCACTCCCACATCTGCACTCTCTGCTGTGAATTGGTCGAAAGGTCTTTGAACAGCACATTGGAAAGTGATTCTATGTGATTCTTCTGCAGCTGTTCTGTCAGTGCGTTCCAGACTTGTGGTTAACGATCCCTCAAAAAAGAGGGAAACCCACCTGAAAAATCGAACCATGAATTTGGGATCAAAATATTAAAAACATTTAAAAACCCTAGGAGGACCCTGGCCAACGCCAAGATGGCTGGCAAATGGTGCCTGCATTCGCTGGTCCGTGGCGCTGTTCCACCACAGCGGGCGGCTGGAGTTAGGAGGCACCAGAACCTGAGCCATAGGGACAAGTTCTGGTATTTCAGCAGGGGGCCCTCCAGGTTGGGAGACCCTCCCCAAGAATTGTTCAAACAAGCCCCATCTTACTTGAGATGTATCCTTTCCATTCCTTTCCGGCTTTTGAAGGGCGATTTGCATGATTTGCCGATTTGAGATCATGATTTATATGATTTGTACCAATGTGTTGTGTTTTTTTTTTAAAGGATCTTTTCTTCCTAAGAGGTTGAAGAACACTAACGATCTAGGGCCTCTAGGGCTGAGATTTGAGCAGCTGTGTCAGATGGACAGCCCTGCTGGCGAAAGCCGACCTGCGGCTGTGTAGCAGGAGATGGAGCTCTACTCCAAAGATCGGCTCCAACATCCTGTTCATCTGTTCATTCTGTTCATTGAATTGAGGCCAACGGAACAAGAATGCGCGCATCCCTCCAGAAGCAAGCTTTTCTTCCAGCTGCACCGATTTCATATGATTTCATCCTGGCTCAGAGCTCCTGACAGGAAGCAGCGCCAGGGTTCTGGCGTTGGGAGCCATCGGAAAGCTGAAAAAATATGAAGAATTTTGAAGACATGATATATTACATTAGAAAGTCATCGACCCCCCAAAAAAAAAATCTGTAAGGGCCCCCAAGGTAATCGAATTCGACATATCTTCACATCTACAACACATGTACAAGCCAGTCTCTGTTTCCAAGTACACCCTACTTCCCGGAGCGCCCCAACCGGCTGCAAGTGACCTGAGTCTTGGCCGCCTTGGCGGCACGCTTCTCCATCTTCTCCAAGGCACGCTTCTCCAAGGCAGCACGCTTCTCCAGCAACTTCTTGGTCGCCTCGTTGGAGGTCATGTCCAAACAACGCTGCCTCGGCACTGGGCTGGGAGCTTCCATGGCGAAACCTGCGGTGTCCCAAAACCTGGGTGTAGTATCTGTTGAGGACCACCCAAATCCACCAAAAAAAACTAAAACAAAATGTGAGATGAACCAAAATGCTATCAAATGCTTCAACCATGGCTATCATCTCACCCCACCATGCAACTCAACGGGCGTTTCCGTTTCCATGGCGGAGTACCACCCACGTTCCTGACTGAGACCCCCACCCATTGTCGGCAGGTTGGTCGTACGGCACACCCGCTCTCAGCAAGGCCCGCACAGCGTCGGCGTGCCGCTGCTCGCTGCCCCAGCACGCTCGGTGGAGTGGCGTGAAGCCATCCTGAAATCGCAATTGGTTTCCTGGTTTGATCACGTACATGTTGGGCAAATTTATGATCATTAACTGCGGGAAGAAAGGTGGCGAACTCCCGTCTGGCTCTTGTGTTGTCGGTGTGTCACGAAGATAGCAATCCATGGTTCTAGCAGCAAGCTGTACAAAGCACCCCTATGCCTAAAAGCAATGGCTCTTCCTTGCTGTCAGTCATTCCATTTGCTGCTTGCTGTGTGGACCTGAATCCAACTCGCTCTGACGCTTTGCACACGTGCATAATGTTCAAAGTGTGAGCCGCTCTAAGCCAAGTAGCCTTGTGCTTATCACTCGGATTCAGACGATAGGCAATCAGCATTTTCGCAATTTCAGCTCTGCCCTGAAAGCCAGCTCCGTGCATCGGCGTGTATCCATCCTTCTCAGGGATTGATGTATCCGCCTTGGCACCTAAGAGGTATTTCACGCACACCGGATTGCCTGGCCACATGAGGCTTATCCCTGCAGGTTTCAAAAGTGGATTTCTGAAAATTGATGATGGTCCTGCAGGGTGGCAACTACGCACATAAACACGGGGTTCAGCCACCATGTTGGAAGCCATTGCTAATTAATTGTCTCTGATGGAGTAGTCGCCCTACAAGTCACAAAGAACCAGCAAGTGGTACAAAAACCAGGCCTGTCAGCACCCCATGCATAAGTGGTGTTTGCCCACCAGGACCAATCATATTGATGTCTTCCCCCGCATCTAGGGCTTCCTGAAGCTTTGCGGGATCATCCGCCCGTACTGCGGCATGGATGTCACCCCTGGCCACACACCAGAAGGCAACACCAACGCTGAAGATGAAGCGCATGACTTAAACAGAAGAGCCTTGAAGTAAAGTGGAGGATCATAACTTAAACTGCAGCAGTAAAGTCAAGATCCAGGTTGGGACCCTGACCACCATGCCAGCATCTGTTTACTCATGTGTTCTTGGAATATGTCATAAATATGCCGTGGTTTGGGCCAAACAGCTGAGGCACAGCATGCAGAAACCCACGGCGCTATGAACCTGCTACTGCATGAACCTGCAAGATGCAAGTGGCAGGTGGCCTCTGCATGGTCGGTGCGATTGAACAACCTGGGCAGCTGAATCTGCCATGCTCTGGTGATTCCATCCAAGAGTCTTGACTTTGTCAGGACGGGCTCTGGTGCCAGGATGCTACTGGTGTCTATCGCACTGTGCCCAAAAGAACCCTCGATTTGGCCAAAGTACTGACTGGCCTTCAGTTTCGAAATCATCTTGAAATTCCGCGAAAGTAATAACCGTCCAAGTTCCTTTTAGAACAACAGTGCAACAGCAATGCTCTTCTCCTCAAGCACACGTCTCATTGTGTAGCCAAAGCACATCATGGCCGGCACCAAACTCACCAAACAGCTCGGCACACCGCGGATGGCCTCCAAAATACTTCGAGTTTGCGGCGCTCATCAAACTGTCTCAAGTATAACTGTCAAGTCACCAAGATGACTGATTCATGATTCATAGCGTTCGTAGGTCCTATAGGCCTCCCATTCAGTTTCGGTTCTCTGTTCAGCACACAAAATCAATGACATCTCGCAGCCTTAAACGCCCAGCCTCTGGTAGCGCAACAGTCTCAGTTCGGAGGCAGCAAGGGTGAAGTGGCCTGAAAGCACTTAATGCCCACGCATTCAGCACGGGCCCCTTTTCCTTTCTGAGCCACAAACGTTAAGCCGACCGCAACAGAGCCCCCAACCTGAAAACAGCAATAGATGAACAGATTACCATCTCTGATATCCGTATGCAAATCTAAGCTTTCGACATCAGGAACCATGACCTGCAATGTGTCTGTTGAAAGAGTCCAAACAGGTTCTGTCTTGTTTCTGCAGTCACAAGGTTCGACCGTTCGATCAGAACAGATTCAAAGACTTGATATGCATGAAAATCCATCAAATCCATCAAAATACACCTAAAAGAAACTAAAAAAAATGTTGGATGATGTTGGATGATATTGATTTTTTTCCCCCGTCCATTTCTCTCCCAATTTCTTGGAGGGAGGAGTAGCCACCATGGCCGCCTCCACGGGGGCATGGGAGCGCAGCCCCACAAAGGCCACTCCATCGCCAGCGCCGTTTTGGATCTCTGGCAGAATCGACACCTGGCGCCCCGGGGGCCCGAGGCCCCTTGGGTGTGTCATGGCCTTGGGAAGGGAGATGGGCCAAGAAAATGGAAAAATGGAAAGGTTCAACATGTGTTGATATGTTTGAAACTCAACTTGGGAGTTTCGAAGGTGTCAAGTTTACTAAAACCTGCAAGAGGTGAGGATAACATTATACAACATTGTCAAAAAATGGAGATCTGCCTGATGTGTCCACAGAATGAGGAGAGTGATGAGTGATGGACAGAAAGGATGAATACAGCTTGAAATATCATTGATACATTTTTTATTGTAGAAATATCCGCGTGCTTATCTCTTTGATTTGGACATTTGTTTTGTCAGGGGCATGACTTATTCCGTTATCACGCACATCCACCACAGTCCGGTCACATGACCACAGTCCGGTCACATGACTGCGTCAACATGGGGCAAAGGTCAATGGGTACTGAACAACCTTACTACATACAGTAGATGGACAAATTATTCAAACCCCGCCTCCATGAGTTGTAGGCTACCCCCTGTCCCCCCCAATTTTCAACGTTATGGTTCCGTATCTTTGTTCCTGATCTTAAGGTTTGATTTTTTTCGTACATTCGAAGGAGCGAACCAAACCAAAAAAACAACATTGTAATTGGGGGTGCGGGGGGTTATTGGATTACAAGGGGTTGAATAATTCGTCCACCTACGGTACAGGGAGTGGTGGTCAGCAGGAGCGCAGAGAATGTGAAGGGTAATTTTTCCTAGTTTGTTTTTTCTGTTCCGTGATACTTTGTTTTTACTTGCTGGTTCAGTTCCGGCCTTCTTCCATTTCCTTTCCTTAGGCGTGATTGCAACTGCTGTGCTTTTCCAACTCCCTTCCTTAGGCATGATTGCAATTGCTGTGTTTTTCCAATTCCCTTTCTTGGGATTGAAAATGCTGTGTTTTTCCTGTTCCCTTTCCCGGGCGTAATTGAAAATGCTATGTTTTTCTAATTCCCTTTTCCGGGTGTGATTGAAAATGCTGTGTTTTTCCAGTTCCCTTTCCCGGGTATGATTGAAAATGCTGTGCTTTTCCAATTCCTATTCTTCAGCGTGTACGAAGTGGCTTTCCCTTTCCCAGTTCCCTTCACGGATTCCCTATGTTCTTTCAAGGAATGTGCGTTGCAGAAGTTTTTCTCTAAAATAGAAAACAGCTTAACGTTTTTTTCCTGAAGTTCATCCAAGCGATCTAAAAGCTAGAAAAACACATCAAATCCGCGAAGGGAACTGGAAGGGAACTGGGAAAGGGAACTGGAAAAACACAGCATTTCGCAACATTTTTAATCATGCCTGGGAAAGGGAACTGGATAAACACGGCATTTTCAACCATCACACCCGGGAAAGGGAACTCGAAAAACACAGCATTTTCAATCATACCCGGGAAAGGGAACTTGAAAAACAGGGCATTTTCAATCAGCCTCGGGAAAGGGAACTGGAAAAGCACAGCATTTGGGAGGACCTTTGCGACACGGCCAGATGAAAGGGGCTTTATCATCCACTATTATAACGATATCGTGTGATGACCGACCTATTTTTTGAAAAACGACAGGTGTCTTGCCAATGCAAAGAAATGGAAGAATAAAAGCTATTGAGGATACATGGTGGGTCTCATCATCCACTTTGTGGCGTTGTGACTGGCTTTGCTTTTCAATCATGGGGTGAATTCTTGGCTCAAAAAATAACAGGTGGTGACAGGTTGCGTATTGTCAATGCATAATGTGGAAGACATGAATACATCGAAGATTCATGATGGGCCTTATCATTCACCTTTGTGGCGTTGTCACTGGGTTTGCTTTTAGACTCATTGTGATGTGACACTTTGGGGGAATATAATTTGTAAGTTCTTCGCAAAAACATATGCCATAAAAAATGCAAAACCATGATGAGAAAGTAAGCGCGTGAGACAGTAGATGGACAAATTATTCAAACCCCGCATCCATGAGTTGTAGGCTACCCCCTGTCCCCCCCAATTTTCAACGTTATGGTTCCGTATCTTTGTTCCTGATCTTAATGTTTGATTTTTTTCGTCCATTCGAAGGAGCGAACCAAACCAAAAAAAACAACAACATTGTAATTGGGGGTGCGGGGGGTTATTGGATTACAAGGGGTTGAATAATTCGTCCATCTATGGTAGTGCTCGACCTGTTCGAGCAACGAACAATTTAGCTAGGCCTTTCGAACGCAGAAGGACCGAACACTGACCGGCTCGGCTGCAATGCATTTGCCGTGCACTGCCCGCACGACCTGTCCCATTGTTTATCTTAGCTATACAATGTATATATATATATACATATGCATACATACATATATGCATACACACACATGTTTCGTGTGTGTTTGTGTGTTTTTATGCATTTACTTGTATGATTACTATCTATCGATGTACTATCTTTATCTATTCATTTATTTAATGTATGTATGTATGTATGTGTGTGTATGTATGTATGTATGTATGTACGTATGTATGTGTGTATCTATGTATCTATGTATCTATGTATCCATGTATCTATGGATTGTATTTATCATGCATTCCTTTTTTTTGGCAGCCATACCTCGCATCGACTGATTTAGACGATTGAGCTGCGAGGCGTTGGCGCAGCAAGAGACTGAACGCTAAAACTGTCTGCTTACGGCTGCTTCATACACCCTTTGATCGTTCATTTGGATCTCACCATAATCATAATGCCCTAATATGTTTTCATAAACATACTTTTTGGTGTGATGCGGCCAATTTTGACGAGGCTTTCCAACTCGCTTGGTTCCGTATGCAACTCTGTGCGCAGAATGAGGTAGAAAAGAAATTTGCCTCATAGGGTCATTGCCGTTGCTTCTTAATATGTGTCCAAGCAATTTTACTCGTCTATTCATGTGATACTCACTGAACGGTATAATTTTTCTGGGGTCACAGCGAGATGGGTAAGCGATGGAACTTGCTTCTTCTAATAATGATTTGTTTGTATTTCTACGGTCTATAAAAGTGGAGTTGCGTTGTAAAATTCTCCGTAGGCCGCGCATCTGGAAAGCATCTAATTTTCTGCGCATAGCCTGCGTCAAGTGAATGGTTTCTAAACCATACAACAATTTACTACGAACTATGGCGTCATAGATAATGAGTTTCCATTTTTTACTCGCTCCGGATGCTTTCCAGTACGGCTCGAGCTTGTACCATGTGCGTCGCACTTCCGACATTTTGTTAAAGATCTCGAATTGAATATTGACCGTCTTGTTTATTTCATTTCCCAAGTATGTGGCTTCGAATTCCTTTGTTAAAGGGGCACCATCGTCAAAATGGATGGAACCATTATTATTCATGGCGATTGCGACACATTTACCTTTATTGGTATATTGTTTATTTATTCCTGTATGTATTTATTCCTGTATGTATTTATTTGTTTAGTTATTTTTCCAAGTTTGCATATATATATATACAGATAGATCTTTTGTCATTTTTCTGTTCATTCAGTTACTTATTCATATTTGAATATATATATATATATAGAGAGAGAGAGAGAAGGAGAGGGAGAGGGAGAGAGAGAGAGAGAGAGATTCATGTATCTTTTGTCTGCGCCCTCCATGCGGACAAATCTATTCATGTCTATTCGTTTATTCATTTATATTTCATTATATTTCTATGTATATGGAGTTATATGGACTTGAGCCCTTTACAAATGCCAACCGGGCCTTGCTGTTGAAGGAGGCCACTGGGTGCATAGGTCCAGGTCCACCGGGCTGCAAGAGTCGTACATCCAAACCTGGAAAACCGAAAAGGCCATGGGAAAATCCTCTGGAAACCATGGGTTTTACTATGTTTTACTACCATAAATATAGAGAGAGAGAGAGCACATGGCAGCAAATGTTTGGGTCATCCAATTCTGAGGAATGTGGATGTTCAAACACACCTTTTACTTTTATGCACTGTTGCGTTGTGATTGTTATTCAAAGGCATTGGTTTCTCCTGCCGGGGCCTGTTGAGTTCACAAACCACCAGCGAGTGTAGACCTTGGTAATCTCGGTATGGGTAGAAATTCAGGGGCCACCACGGTCACCCAAATTTTGAGTACCGGTGATCATCCACCTATGCGGATGGATGAAAATGGCAAAATGAAATTTGGCGGCCCCTTCTCTGCATCCAAGTGGAGTTGGGGGGTCAGGAAAGGTACCATTCTCCAGATTTCCCCAGTGATGCACATTTTCCTTCGGACACTGCTTAAATGCATCAAAGCACGTCAACTCTTAGGGCTCCATGTCGGTGGCCGTGGATTGGATCCAACATAAGGCACCAACCACCAGTTCTCTCCCACTTCGCATGGCATTCAAGTTGATGAACCTTGCCCGGAGGAAAGCTGAATAGGGTTAGTCTGTGTCACATGTCACCTTTCATCCCTCTGTACTTATTATATCCTAGCACCACTTGAATTGACCGTGGTATTAGATGAACTGGGACGGGATTGTGCGATATTGCACCCTTCAAGATCTTCAAGAATCAAGGAGCCACACACCAAATCCACCATAAATCCACCCCTTAGATAAAATAGATAAATCATCTCGAAACCAACAGAGACTTCGGTGCTTATGGTGCTTCATCTTCATCCAGTCACTGCCTTGGAACTGGCCACCTGAGGTGAGAACATCCCCTTGAATTCCAGCTGCACCTCAAATGCCAGACTCATCTTAGCTCAAGCCGGTGCAGCAGCATCTCAAGGTGCCCGGGGATCCAAAATGGGAAAGTGGCCAAACGGAATCAACGAAGCTGCAGTGAGGTCAAGTGATAACTGTGATAACTTCAAAAACCCACAGCAACTATAAATCAATGTGGTCAAACGACACTAAGAGAGTGGAAGTCCACTTCCAAAATCATTCGAAAAGCCACAGCAAGAAGCTGCAACCAGGTGGCTGGTTCTGTCCTTGCACCCGTTGGCAGCACTGCTCTCAGGGGGAGTGACCTGCAGCACATGATGTTCCTCCATAAATGGATGACTAAAAAGTAATCCTTGCACTCCTGCCATTCACCCAGGTTTACCTGTCATTCATTGGTCGTATCAGCATTTCAATAGATTAGATAAACTCCAAATTCTATGAGATATGTAGTGTGTATACTATGTATATTATGTATGTTATGTATATTATGTATATTATGTATATTATGTATATTATGTATATTATGTATATTATGTACCATCTAGTTATTTAACATAGCCATGGAAATCCCTTGTAAATGGAGGTGTTAATGGGAAAATCATCTATAAATGGGCCATTGTCCATGGCTATGTTAAATAACCAGAGGGTATATTGTGTATATTATGTATATCATGTATATCATGTATATCATGTATATTATGTCTATTATGATTATTATGTATATCATGTATGTGTATGTATATCATGTATATCATGTACATTATGTATATTATGTATATTATGTATATTATGTATATTATGTATATTATATAATATGTATATGTATGTGTATGTATGTGTATGTATATGCATATGCATATGCATATGCATATGTATATGTATGCATGCATGCATGCATGTCTGTATGCAACAATATAATTGACATATACTGTATATATGTATATGTATGTATATGTATACCCAGAACCATTCACGCAAAGATTCATCCAGGTTTACCCAGTCCCGTCCCCCCCATCCCCACCATGAACTCGCATGCCCTTGCAGATCACGTACCGCGAAGGACACTGTGAGATCCTCACATCGCTTGGTCCAGTGATGTGGTGCCCAAAAACTGTTCCCTTTATTCTTAATATATGTATAACGTATATATTAATATATATATATATTTATATATATATATTTATATATATATATTTATTGTGATTGGTTAGCGGTTCTAACTACCACAGTCACAGGTGAATGCCCCTCCACCAACTGGATGCTGCGGACACGCAGCCCTTTGGATCTCGATGCACCAAGTAGCAAGTCCTCTTGCTAAGCTAAGGCTGAACACAGCCAGGCCAGAAACGTATGGCTCCAAGGCGTATTTCCCACCCACCTCACGTCCTTGCAAAAAGGGCAACTTGAGCCCACGGCCTGCAACACCCTGCAGTGTGGCTTCTCTGGAACCCTGCTGGAAAAGGAGGAAGTGTCATGTATGGACATAGATGGAAATGAGCTGCTTTCACATTCCCAAAACTTGAAAATTTTAAGACCTTTCAGCTCATTTCATGCGTGGTGGATCTCAACCATTTTAACCGATTTCTCTCTGTTGCACGATCCTTGGGCACAGCATTGATGTCGTGAAGACAATATGATCCAATTCGGAGTGTTTCGCGCAAAAAATTAGCATTCATGATCTTTGTAAGGGCATCTGCTAACTGTGCACCTGAATGGACCCAATGAAGTGAAATACCTTCTTTCAGTATATCTTTTATGGCTCGTGCTTGGAGTTGTGTTCTGAATTCAGAACAATTTGGAACTGCAGTCCGTGTCGTCAGGTCGTATAAGCTCTTGCAGTCTGTAATGGCCAGGTCCTTTTCATCGATTCGGATTGTTGGTACGGTGATTGCTTGAGGTAAACCGTCAACTTTGCTTGGGTTCTGCCACTTTAAGGTTTGATCGAAAAACCAAGCCCAGTATAATCTCATCCACGTTAATTGATCCAAAGTAGATGATAACGCTGAAGTTTCCGCTGAGAGGGTACTGGTGACCACCCTTTGTATCTTCTTGGTTCCCCACGATAAAGGGCTCACCTGACAAGTCTGGTTGTTGGTGATATCCTTATGTGTGGCCATGATGATCATACCAGCGTGTGATTCAGGTTTGGCTGTGGACGCACAGGACGCATCTGAGAACGCTAGGAATCGCAGGTCTTTGGGATTGATTGGCTTGATTTTGATGGTTACTTCATGATGTTTCTTGGCAATGTGAAGGGTCTTATTGGCTGCTATTAATGTTGATACTGTTGCAGAATTGACTTGGGACTGTAGTTGACTCAAAGAACTGGACAGGTCGGGTCTCGTATGTACTGCCGCATATTGTAGGGATCCAATCAGACCACGCAGGAGGTGTCGCTCGGGTTCTGACCCCGTGGCATTTTCATCGGCTCTTCGTTCGGAAGTGAGAGTTATTGAATTGATATTGCGAATGTATTTTGACTGTGAGAGTTCGATGCTATTGTCTGGGTGCTGTTGAAGTTCTATTCCAGTGAAAGTGAAATTTCTTGACTTTTTGGCTCCGAAAGGATACTTGGCTTCCAACTTGCTGATTTGTTGATGAAAATACTGATCCCCCCCATGTATGCCATCATCGACGTGGATTCCCAGGACCCCTGACAATCGCTGACTCTTGGGATTTCGCAATAAAAACACGCAAGGATCAAACGGTGATGGAATGAAACCCAGATGTATGAGTTCTTCTTGTAACGTCCGAAACCAAAGATAAGGAGCATCTATCAGGCCATATGCTGACTTATCTAGTTTGCAAATTTCATCTGGCTTCAAGTGCATGGCTTTACTGAGTTCGGCCACTGGCTCAATTCCAATCACTCTGTCCTGTTGCGGTTTGCCTTGCAAAAACGCGGCCCGAATGTCAAATGATCCAAGGCTCCATCCTTGTGATGCTATGAGCTGCAGCAGGAGCATCTTTGATTGGCGTCCCAAGGTAGGACTATCTCTGGGAACTTCGGTGATCTTTGGGTCGAGGTAACCCAATACCACAAGTCGCGCCTTAGGTTTGTGAGTGGTTAATTTTGAGACATGAGTATCCTTTTCATTTATTCCCTCTAGTGGTTTCCATACTAAAATCCAGCGGCATCTCAGGATTTGTTCTGGGGCCAACTGATTGCGTAAAATCTTGGATACTGTCCCAGTCTTTAACCAATTTTGAATTTCTGTCTCTTTGGCATCTCTGAAGGCATTTTGCTCCTCGGGACTTAGAAGAGACAGTTTCACCTCAGTTCTTTGTTTCTTTTCCGTGGTGGCCATCAGGATGTCCTCGGCTGTCCAGCTCTGTACATGCTGCTTTTGCAGATGGCTTGGAAGTTCCAACTCACAGCGCCATGCACATGGTGTGTCTGTTGGATCGACATACATCACATCATCTTCACAGCACAGTAGGTGGGTGGTGACAAGGCTGTCATCATCATCATTGATATCTGGAATGGGAGTGTTAATTGCAGGGTCATTCGTTCCTTCCATGTTTATGGATCCTGGTGGTGTGATAATTTCGGGTTCAATGTCTGGTTGATCTTGTGATTGGCTGGCATTTTCTGATGGTTCCTGATTGATGATGTTATTGGGGTTATTATTGATGGGATTATTGAGTTCATGGTTATCATTTGGAATTTCTTCTTGAATTGGTACTTCATGTGGATTTGCACTGGCTGTGGAAAATGGCATGTTGGCTGTGTCTTCCTCGGCAGGCAGCTGATGTGCTTCTTGGGAGCATACGGGTCTGATGTGTTCCAAAGCCCTTCGAAAGAGTTTTCCCCCTTGGGTTGCCCATATGGAATAGTCCCCTTCCTGGGTTACCACCCTTAAAGGTCCAAACCAATGGCCTCCCTGTTGGGTTGGTTGCCACATCATGATCCATTCACCAGCCTGATATGCATTTCGGGAAGGACGGGATCTGCGCAAGCTGGCCCTTCTTAAAGCAAAATCATTGTCTGCCTGATGGAACGCTACTCTGGCCCTTTCTCTTAAGGCCAGGCTCTTACGGAAATCAATTCCAAGGCCATCATCGCGATCTGCGCTTGCAAGGGATGATTCCCCAGTTGTGCTGCTCAATGAACCTGGAAGTCGTGAACTTTTCCCAAACACCAAAATTTCCGGTGAAAAACCTCTGCGTATGCTTAGCGTATTCTTGGCATGAGTACTTTGGGCTAATGCTTGTTGGAGGTCTTCATAGGTCTCTATTGGTGGTTCTTTATCCAGTTTATTGAGCATGTTCTGAAGAATATCACCGTGCCTTTCACATCTGCCATTTTGCCAGTGAGCATGAGGAGCTATGGTCGTTGGCTTGATGTCATTGCGCTGCTGGAATTGAGTGAAGGTTTCACTGACAAATTCCGTGGCTGAGTCCGTGACCATAGTGTTTGGTGGTCCTGCCCATTGCATCCACGACTCCAGCACACATCGCACGGCATTCTCGGCAGAACGGCTGGGTGCTGGTGCTGCGACATGAAAGTTCGTTGCCTGATCTATGATGTGGTAAAAATGAAAGGTCTTATTGGATTTGTTGGTCCATGTTATCCCATCTAGAAATACCTTGTCATTGAAATCAAGCTCATGTTTGATGGTGCTCGGTCGAGCGATCTTGGGTTTTTGCATGGATGCACATGTTGAGCATTTCATGTCGAACACAGCTTGGTGAATCTCTGTTCTCACCTTCTGCATGCGAAGCACTGCACTGAATTGCTCTGGGCTAGGGTGGCATAGATTCTTGTGTGCCCTCTTCAGCATGGCTTGTTCCTCACGCGACAGTGCCAAGAATCTGGGACCATGTGCCTCATCGCCAGGTGATTCCTTTGAATCATGTTCACTAGGGAAATCAGTGTTGGGATTTTCACTTTGGCACATCTCTGGGATTTCGTCAGTTCTTCCTTCCAAAGTCTGGCTCTCCTTCGGAAGGTCTTTGGAATCACAACCATCTATCCGAGATGGTGACAGCTCAACACCGGGCGGTGATGGCTCTTGCTTCTCGGGTGCATTCGGAGGATCGGCTGCAAACACCGTTATATTGACCCGGCACGGATGCGACTTCCGGATTGTCTGGCGATTGGAGAGAGTGTCATATCTTTCCCATTCTGAATCCATAATTACTTTTCCATTGCTTCTGAGTTTCATTATTGATCTTCGGAATGGAGCCTCTCGATTGTTGAGGTCTGATGGAGGACCCATAGTTCTTTCAGTTCCCTTGCATGCTACAATCCTTTTGATTTCTTTGGAGGGAAAAAGAAATTGTAACATTTGTTGGAATTTTGGTTGATCAATGATTCTCTTGCCAACACGTGGAAGGATGGGTTCAATTTGGGACATGATAAGTTCAATGGTCTTTTGTTCATCTTCGTTGGGATTGGCATGTGGTATGGGATTTGATTCATCGGTTTTGGCTCTCTTGAGCTTCTTGCTCGCATCAGGGTCTCGGTCTGCAGCTTTGGTCTTGTTAGACCTGGAACTGGCCGCACGAAAACGCTTGGCTGGACGGTCGCTCAAAGCACAAATGGCGTCAAACAATGCGAGTGCAGGATCGGCAATCATTCCGATGGGTTTCTCTTTGGGAAAGCTTTTCTTAAGCATGGTTTTGGCCACTCTTCGTGCGAACCGTCTTGGGTAAACTTCACTGAAAGCAGAGCGGGCTATTGACTGTCCATCTGCATGGGTGCTTCCCTCGATCGGCTGGTGAACATGATCTCCAGGGCATTTCAACGGGTCAAGCTCGTCAAACATTCTTTGAGATGACGTGGTGATGTTAAGTCCCTTTCTCATGTGGTGATGATTTATGGGGTCTCTAAGATCACCTGCCTGACACAAGTCGGGTTTGGCTGGCTTCATGTATTGATATATTTCTTGCAGGTATGGAAGGGTCATCATGGCCGATCCTTTGGGTTGTTCCCAATGCATGTGTCGTTGGTGCCGGACTTGGTGTCGGCTGAGCACAAAGCATAAAGCTACCTGAACCAACATGTCTTGGCGTTCAGTGTGGATTCTGTCCCATGACTCTAATGACCGTTGGCTATTAAAGTGAGACCATCTTGACCATGGTTTACACACTGGACTTGCCCAAACATGCTCTGGTCGGAAGCGGCACAGCAACTTGAACAAGCTCACTCGCCCTTCATGCGTGTGAAGATCTCCTTGGTCGATTCCGAATCTCATGGCTTTACCCCCAAGCATGTTCACCTGATGTGTCAAGTTGCTTTCACTGCTGCAAAACACTTCAAGTAAATTTATGTGGTATCCAGCATGTGGGGTCTTTAGCGCAACTGTTTCCAATTCGGATTCGATGGTGCGTACCCATTTCCAGAACATGGCTCTTTCTTGATTGGGGATGGATTCACAGAATGAGTCAATTTCCCCAGCGGCCAAAGCCAAGTCACATCCTGGCATGTCAGACTTCACTGATTCCAGGGATCGTTCCACTCTTCCTCGACCGGCATGGTTGGGAAGAGCTCTGGTGTCGGATTGGTCATCATCGGAGCAGGAGCTAGATGGGCCAGGATCTGGTGCAAGGCGTGCTCCATGAGACCCATACGTTCCTGCAAGCTTGAGATCTGAGCATTTTCGGAGGCCACCCACGGTTCTTCCGGTGGCGGTTCCATCCCTTCCGGAGACATCATGGTGCTCGGCTGAGCCTTTGCTTTTGTACGCAAGGGCATGGCCTTGGGTGCTGCATGGCCTTTTGGCAACACCGGTGATTGACGTCCCGGCGTGGGGTTCTCCTCCATGGCTTCGATCTTGAGCTTGATGTATCGAATCATCTTTCGGTGTGCAAGCTTGGAGCTCTTTTGGTAGTGCTGCAGGAACCACTGTGTCCACTCTGGACTGGAGTTCCATACATCCTCGTACGTTCGACCCAGATGGGTCTTTCCGAATGTCATGACCTCCAACTTCAGCTCCTCGATGGACAAGTGGTCGATCTCCTCGGGAGTCTCCTGTGGCCGCGAGGCTTGCACTTTGGCCAATCTCTGAGTCCAGTCGCTCATGGTGGCAACTCGGTGAAATCGGCTTGGGAACGATCGGAATCTTTGGACACTGACACGAGGCTTCGGTGTTGGTGGCGATGTTCTGATTGTGAAAGCTTTTGGTCTGAGGATTGTGATTGACTTCTTTTCCGTGGAGTGTGACATGTTGTTGATTGTGTATGTGAGGGGCATGTTGGTGTCTTTCATGAAAACTCCTATGCATCTGAGCTGGTTCTGTTTCAAACGCATCGGCTTTGCCTGAAGAACTATCAGGTGCTGGCGGTTCAACCTGGAATTTTTCACTCTGAGTTTCAGATTCTTGTGCAAAAGTCTCGGCAAAACCTGAACTACGCTGGACTTGACTTCCGGCTTTGATTAGCTGATTCATATCTACCAGATAAAGACCCTTTGGAGACAACTTCAATGGGACAGTGATCTGATGCTTTGGGAACTTCAGCACGTTGTCGCCGGTGTCAATGCTTGCACCTAATGCACGCAGCAACGTATTGGACAGGAGGAACGGTGTTGTTCCTGGCACTATGGCAATTTTCAAACCGAGGCCAAACAAAGGAATCATGATTGCATGTTCAGATTTCAACGTACCCTGGTTTCCAAATCGAAAAACAACATCACATTTGCATCTTTTGACTTGATCCTTGACAGAGGGGTCCAAGCTTTTCAACAAGTCTGCAACATGCGTACTGCCTATGACCGTTTTCGTGGCACCTGTGTCTATAATCCCCCATGTGTCATGAGTGGAAAACATGGCCTCAGCTGTGCAACTGCTTGGAGAAATCTCGGATGCAGACTGTACACTTGGCTTCGGATGCCAAGCATCTGTTGTGCTTGGCTTTGGAAATCGGTTGTTTCCTTGGAACGCATTGGACTCTGTTCTTGGCTTTGTCGGATCAGGCTCACTTCGGCGCATTCTGGACTCAATCCTGCTTACCAGGGAGGCGACTTTAGAATTATTCTCTTTATTACCCTTAATATAGGTCCTAATCCTATCCCTTACCCCCATTAAGGATGCAGACTGAGTTGGAACTACGGATGTTTGACGGCGATCCTGAAAAAAAACTGTCTGTACAAAACATTCGGATGAAACAGGTCGGCAGTCCTGAGCTGGTGTCTCGGTGATCTCAGGGAGCATCATGAACTCCATGGGCATGACATCTTCATGGGATTGGTCGGCGGCTGCCACAGATAACGTCACTGGAGCACTCTGACTGGCACTGGAGGCAGAAGACTGACGCATTGGACAATCGTTCTTCCAATGCCCCTTTTTTCCACACAAACGGCAACTTGTCTCCATGATTCTCTGTTGAAGGCTTTTACGGCTCGACCAGTTAGTCTTTGATTTGAACTTGCCTTTGAAGCCCTTGCCACGACCCTGACCTTTGATAGGCCAGAAACCTCTCGCTTTCACCTTTTCACTGAGTTTCTTGCGAGCCTCAACATAGGTGGAGTATGCGGCTGCCAACTCCGGATCATTCTGAACCAGTTCTGAGGCGGCCTGCTCAAAATCGGCCACAAAGCAAGCATCTTCATCTCCCTCAGCCACAAGCGTCTCAATCATTTCATCCTCTGGCATTTCATCATGTTGTGATACGTAAGTGAAATCATCGGCATCAGGTTGAGTTTCTGTGTCATCCATGGCAATGTTGGCATGATCATATACTTTGGTTTTCACAGCTTTCTTGCTCAATCCTGTCATTTCTTGGAAAAACGACGTTCCCAGGAGACGGATGGCTTCCTGCACTCGCGGAACAGTCAAACGTCCTTCCAACGATGAATCACTTTCCAAAATCACCCGCTTTTTGTCATCGCTTGTCAGAAGAGCACCTCTCAAGGTAATGTATGCCTGCAAATCTTCCAATTTGAGCTTTTGCGATTGCAACTTCGTCCACAAAATGTCAGCTCTTGCAAGATATGAATCGTGGCTTTCATCGGCTTGCTGGTTACACTGGAACAAGGCACGTTCGGCATCAGAGTACTTTTTCTCTAATCCCAGCCTGCCCCAATGACCCCCCAGCAACTCAATCAACTTCTTCACGCCCTTCTCGTCATTGACACACAACAACTCCTCATGGTGAAGCTGCAGCTTGGCGAAGGCAGAACCTGTGGTATTTAAGATTAATCTTGTAATTAACTCAGACACCTTGTTCTTTGGCCAAACGGCATGCACCAACTGCACTTTCTGTTGATACACCTGAAGGTCATCCTTACTCGGGTCGAAGGTGGGGACCAGGTAAGCTAACTGACTGGAGATGTTCTGCGTCGATTCAGTGCCATCACTTGCCGACGCCATTGCACCTCCCTGCTGAAAGGTTCACAGCAAAGCCAGTTTGCCAAAGGTACCCGGATGCCCCAGCTTTTTTGCTGGGGCTCCGCTGCCAATGTGATTGGTTAGCGGCTCTAACTACCACAGTCACAGGTGAATGCCCCTCCACCAACTGGACGCTGCGGACACGCAGCCTTTTGGATCTCGATGCACCAAGTAGCAAGTCCTCTTGCTAAGCTAAGGCTGAACACAGCCAGGCCAGAAACGTATGGCTCCAAGGCGTATTTCCCACCCACCTCACGTCCTTGCAAAAAGGGCAACTTGAGCCCACGGCCTGCAACACCCTGCAGTGTGGCTTCTCTGGAACCCTGCTGGAAAAGGAGGAAGTGTCATGTATGGACATAGATGGAAATGAGCTGCTTTCACAATTTATATTTATATTTATATATGTATTTATATTTATATATGTATGTATGTATGTGTGTGTGAAAAGATAGAAAGATATTACAATTATATAGATATTACAATAGGCTATAGGGATCAATCGGGACAATTGTGAACCAGCGGGCTTGAGCCAACCTGTTTTCATTTTCGTCTGTTTGCTGTATATCAGTTTCCCTTTTGCAGCAGTGATCGATGTTTGGGGAATTTCGGGTGGGTTAAGTTCTGGACATCCGCCATTCATCCTAAATCATCCTAAATCAACATCCCCATGTCCTCCGCCACAAACTCGAATGAAGGAAGCATCGACCTTCAGCACAAAGACTTGCTGAGGAAATGGTGTCATCGGAAGAACTTCCACGACCCTTCGGCAAAAATGTCGCCGCTATCCCTGCAATTCAGTCCGCCACTGGGGCGCAATTCGTAGTTGTGGCGTACCATGGTTGTTGGAACCTGGTCTTTTGGTTCCTATGGGAGTCTTGGCTGATCAGTTGGGAAAGAAGATCGCAACGAGCTGGTGGTTTCAATCCATCCAAACACAATTAAAAATGGACGAGTCATGATATACGATCATGAATTGGTCACCCGGAATCGTCTTCACAAATCAGGATGGAAAGGTATTTTTGTAGCAGCACGTCTCGAAAACCACCAGCCAAATTTTAAGCGGTCAAAATGATGAAAGCTGGATAGGCTGTGCTCATTAGCTGGTCAGATTCGTCAGGATTGGTCAGGATAGGCTGTTCTTGAGACTGCTCCCTGGCATCCACCAGGCCACAGTTTCCACTGGGATCCCAAGCTCATGCTGGCTTGGACACAGTGCCACTCCACTTCCGCTCGTCTAGCGCAGTGTGGTAACATTCTCCCATAACACTGACACTGACCCAACTAATGTGCTCCCGAAAACATGACAGCCGATTGGGACCATCATCGCATTTTATGAGAGGTGGAAAAAGACTATGTAACCTGCACATGCAGTCAGTGAATCTCCAAATGGCACTGAGGCAGGGGCTGCCGATTCAGAACCACAATCACCGAGTTGAGACCTGCGCACCGTCCGCGAAAGATAGCTACACTGTCCAGAATCTAAGTCATTTCCCTAGTTGGATGGGTGCATCATATATGCCAGCAAAAAAACTAGCATACTAGCATCCCTTAGCCATTCTTGGCCAAAGAAAAATGATGAAATGAAACATTTTGAAACATGATAAAAGAGCCGTTGCTGAGAGCGCAGCTGGTCCATCGCGGCTTGGTTCGACCCGCCCTGCCGTTGCACACCCACCTTCAGCCAAGGTGCCAGAGGGGAATCAGAGCTGGTTGCAATCCCCTCAACTCAAAGTCAAAATGGCCCAGAAAAATGGATAGATCCAACGATAGACCAGAATCTGGATTTGGAGGGAAGTATTACTGGGCGCCAAATTTTTGTTCACTACTTCATACAGAGCAACTCCACGGTTCGAATTTGATGTCCCTGCCACTGCAAGATGCTGCAAGAACCCACCGGCCTGAAGAAGCCTTCTTCATCCAATCCTCACGGTGTTACAGTCCAAAGATGTCCAAAGTGGCTTGCAACTTTCGAGCCATGGCTGTTGGGAGTTTACAAGGCCCGGAAGAGAGATCCCAAGACCGGAACGGATGGGCATCACTTCCGCTTGGCCATTCGTTGGCACCGCCACCTCGCAGTGTGCTCTCAGTTGGCTCATGGTTCAAACTGTCCCGTTGGCAGTTGATCCCAGTTGCCTCGTCCCCGAAGCCATTGTCAACCACCATGTCGATGCTGGCCCCTGGCCTCAGGGCTGACAGCATCAGCCACTTCATCAAGATTCAGCAAGGTGATAATTAACACGCGCATATATACATACATACATACATACATACATACATACATACATACATACATACATACATACATACATACATACATACATACATACATACATATATATATATATATGATTATATATGTACACGTAACTAAAACGTTTAATAGCTGGGCTCCCAACTCCACCGGTAGTCTTTCCCGCTCCTGTTGGGGCACTAAGCAACAAGCACACCATGGTCACCATGGTTGACAGCTCAGCAAATCAAACTGGTAGCACCTTGCCCAGCTTCCTTCTTTGCACGCCTGGCGGATTGAACCTCAGTGAAGGATGAAATCAAGAAATATTTCAAATGTGTGAGACCAAGGATCGAGCTGGCACAAGATGTCGCATGGGCATGCATTGACCACAGTGAAGGGTGCGTGCACCTGCAGCAGGAGGCTACCTTTTGAGAACCCACTGGGAATAATAAGTTAAGAGGCATGCTTTTCACTGCATTTTCTCTGTTGTGACCCCTTTCCTTTCTATTCTTCTTTCTTGTATGCCTTCTCATCCTAAGAGCCTAAGACTCTTCTTTGTCAACGTGATGTTCATTCAGAAAATGTTCATTGCACAGCTCCGTTTTAAGTTTCCTTGAATTCCTTTTGTTGTCAAATCTCGCCTTGGCTCTACCTTTGTTTAAAAAAAACAACAACATCATGTCAAAACGCTATTCGCTGGGTTGCTTGTAGGGACAAATAGGGACAAAGTTATGGGATTCCATGGTTTCTAACTTCAAAAATGGTGGTTTCAATCCCAAATTCTGCCATAAACCGCGCCTCTACGTTGCTCCAACCTTGCTGAGGGTCACCACCGCAACTGGTGCGCAGGTATAGCCAGTTCTTGGGCAAATCCTGCATCTCTGGAGGCCTCACAAGTGGAAACAATCTGTGGATATGGGCATTGAGGTGCATGCATAGGGTGTACTTTTTATATATATATATATAAGAACAACGAAATGATGAAAATAATCACAAGGGTAATGATGATGAATGATGATAATGACTGTATATAATAATGCAAATGAGAATGAATACAAAAATGCTAGTGGAGAGCTCCATTGCCCTGGTCAAGTCGCGCTCACCAGAGGTTCTGGTTGAAGTGCGTAAGATTTTTCTCTTTGAAACCTGCTGGGTTTAAAACCCTTCTGCCTCACATCTTCGCTGCAAACCCTAGGTTTGCCCGCGGCGAATCCCGCATATCCTTTCACATGCTCAAATCCCTGCGTAGGGTTTAAGTTTTTTACTTTCCAAAACAACATAGCCTAAAACCCTAAAACCTAAAACATCCTAAAACCCTAAACACTAAATTAAAACCCTAAATCCTGAAAACTTAAAGTCAAAATCACTGTATATAGCCAGTGTTTTCATTCATCCTCTGGTGATGAGTATATCATATTGTTTGGATGTGTTGTTTGAGTGTGGGCAAACCCGGGGTTTGGAGGGAACATTTTTAAATGTCTCATTGGCTAAGTGTGACTAAGTCATATTCAAGCACAGGTCAGAGTCAATACCCCTTAAAGCTAGACCTCTCAACCATCCCATGAAGAAATCTTCCGTGCTGTCTTCACAACCCCGCCAAACACTATCAACAAACGGACAAACGGTCACTACAGACAAGCTTCAATGTACCCTCTACGAAACTCAAACCCACCTCTTCTGCATGGTGTTTTCTGCCCGTTTTCTATCAGCTTCTAAGGCTCAGGCGGTGATGCGCACACCGTTGTGTCATTGGGGCTGGCCACCTGAGGCAGTCAGCACCGCACCACAGCGCCATGTCTATGGCCGCAGGCTGGGCTCCCCGGGCTGGAACTGCAAAGAAGGACTCAGACCTAAGGACAACTCATACAATGACTCAACAATCGTAGGTCAGCCCAGGGCACAACTTGAGGCACCGAATTATATGGTCATTTTATGTCATTTTATCCGTTCAACCATCTTAGTTTGTTTCGTTTGAATATCTTTGAGTTATCCCTTCCTATTTTTGGCCCTGTCTGGGAAACCATCGCATAAGTCGGCCTGAGGCTGTCACCAAGTGTATGTCACACCCCCATCTGTCAGGGCTGGTCGGAGTTGCAGCACGGCCTACCAACGCTGGATCTTTAAGCGAGCATCAAACCCCGATGCAATTCTCTGGTGGTGTACACATCTCAAACCTAAACGGCTCAAGCGCAGGACCACACCTGGCCCATTCGGAGCTGTGCCCCAGTGGGGGCAGACAGCAGCTGGCCTGCACCTGATCTGCAAAGATGGAAGGTCCGTAGAGTTAGAAACCCAAAGAACCACGCAGTTCCCTTCAAAAATAGAGCAACTCTTTCGATGTGCCTTGGCCCCAAGTTTGGAGGCACGAAAACTTGCTGGAAGCTTTCCGAGAAGTTGATTTCCACAATCTCCAAAATCTCTCCAAAACTTGCTGCAAACTGTCCATCCACAACTGCAGGCGCCGGGAAAAGTGGTTTCCCCCACCGAGGCCCCAGACCCAGCAGCAAGGTCCCTGCAGAAACTTCATCTCCTCCAAGCTGTCCAGCCTGAGCCATTCGTCAGTAGTGACCTGGTATAGTTGAAATCTGGTGCTAATTATATGCCAAACAAAAATGCGTATGTTTCGCAAATGTACATCTATCCATCTATCTATCTATCTATCTATCTATCTATCCATCTATCTATCTATCTATCTATCCATCGATCTATCTATCTATGGTTGATATCTTGGTTGCAATATGTTGGACTGTTGGACACAACACTAGACACCGCTGTGCCGCTATGTGCATCCATCCATACCATTACATACCGTTATATACCATTACATACCACTACATACCATTAAATACCATTACATGCCATCACATACCATTACCATTACATGCCATTGCATACCATTGCATACCATTACATACCACTGCATACCATTGCATACCATTACATACCATTACGTGCCATTACATTAATTACATCCCATTGGATACCATTGCATACGATTGCGTACCATGGCATACCATTGCATACCATTACATACCATTACAATCCATTACATACCATTACATACCATTGCATGCCATTGCATACCATTGCATGCGATTGGATACCACTACATGCCATTCATGCCATTACATACCATAACATACCATTGCATACCATTGCATACCATTACGTGCCATTACATTACATTAAGTTTCGTTACGTTACGTTCCATTACATTGCCTATGCATATATACGTATATATATATATATGTGTGTGTGTATACGTACATGTAATATGCTCCTGGTGGTTTGCGTTCTTGGACATCAACTGCGTATCTCCGAGGTGGATGCAATGACTAGGTTCAAAAAAACGTGGGCCAGTGGAAGTACGCAGCCAAATAACAATTATTGGTGCTGTTATCATGCTAGTAACAAGAGCAAAAACAGTAACAAGAGCAACAACAATAACAAGAACAATAACAATGACAATGACGATGACAATGACAACAACAATGACAATAACAATAACAACAATAATCATATAACCATAATAGCATAAGAATCTTTAATAAGTATATATATATATGTATATATATATATGTGTGTATATATATATATGTATATATATATCTGTATGTGTGTGCACCATTCAGCCACTTCAAAAGGCCCAGGCATCGTCCAGGGTTGAAGCTTCGACCCGAGTCTCCCCGGAGACGCCCTCGCTTAACCTGAAAGGGAAGGGGATCACCGTCTTCATCCTGTCTCCTGTGATTGGTTGGTGTTGGTTGGTGGTTTCATCTTGTTTTGGGCGTCGCAATTTCTTTCTTTGTGTGGGATTCTTGTTGAAAAATCATCCGAATGACCACAAGGAATCAAACTAATAGCCATACCTGAAAAAATGAGAACGAAGGCCCATGCTTTTGCTCGCCGAAATAATCTCCGAAGGCGCTGGTTGCATCATATCTCAAAGTAGGGGAAAATGTAGGTTGGGAAGTCATGAGGAAAGTTAATTGAGTGGGTAAGCTTGATAATTGTTGACAATGCGGGAGTGATCTTGTTGTTGAAAACGGTTGGAGTTGGCTTGATTCTGCTGCTTCTCCTTAATGTTACATCTGTGATATTTGTTGTTTTCACCATATGTGGGCACAGGCTAGCCGCTAGCCTTTTCCCCGCAAGCACAGAGGGTGCAACCACGAAAAGGCCAGCATGGTTGTATCGCGGCTTTACTTCCTACGAGCAAACTGAATGGTTGCATAACACAGTCCTAGTGAAGAAGATATCGTGTCTGGCTTCACAAAGTGAACCTGTGGGAAGGCATGCGGCTACGACTTTGCAGGAGAAAGAGTCTGCTGACACCCAAAAAGCCGTATGCGAAAACATGCCCCTACCTTCCCCGCAACGGTGCTATGCAAAAACAAATAACAGGAAAAGGCCAACATTGTTGTATCGCGGCTTTATTTTCTAGGAGCAAACTGAATGGTTGCGTATCACACGCTAAATGTCAGGAGCCAACAACAAGGCATCAACTTTGATTGGCGGTCGTTTTAACGGAGGCGAGTTTGAGCTGGTTGCATTGTATCTCAAAGCAGGGGAAAATGTAGGTTGGAAAGTCATGAGGAAAGTTAATTGAGTGGGTAAGCTTGATAATTGTTGACAATGCGGAAGTGATCTTGTTGTTGAAGACGGTTTGGGTTTAAGGCAGTGCTTTGTCAAAAGGTGCAGAAGGGTATAGGCCGGTGTGGTGAACAGCAGCAGGGAAAAAATGCAAAAACAACCGGGCAGCAGGACGGACCAGGGGGGAATCGAACGCCGAGCGACATCAAATTGCCACACGCTACATCACACGGCAAAATCCGTTCCGGGCCACCTAGAATACCACTTAAATTCGAGTTTCGTGTGCCTTTCGGAAGCCGCTACCCCCCAGACACCCTATACCCTCACTACGTTCGCAATAGACACTTCAGCCACTGCCTCTGGCTGGCTTTCGTAATAAGAATGATTATGACATGTATATCTAGATGATTCTAGATGTACATACATCAAACCACCAGACAGACTTGACTTCAGTTAAACAAAACCTCATTTAGTTTCGGTGTGATCCCATGGGCTCTTGGTTGAGAGTCCCATTGTCGGGCTACCCATCTAAGGTCCCAACAGTCGGGCATCAATACCTCAGGCGGGAAGCATCTATAAATGGATGATTTTCCATTGCTGTGTTTGAATACCAGAGGGGAATCAACAACGAGTTTGGTCAGTCATATTTTGGGCATCGGCCAAAACCCATTCAAATCTAGGAAGCTGGCGAACACAAAACAGTGAACCGTCATTCCCGCCCATCCGATCGTCACATCCACCCAGCCCCCAGTTTTAGGTTCATCGCAAGAATTTCGGTAAATCCCATCGAGGTAAAGTCAAATGTTCTTCAATCCCAAGTCTTGAGGGAATCTCGATGTTCTATCTACCCCCATCATCCCAATTTGTGTAAGCTATATATAGCTACATATAATATCCATGCTAAGGCTTAACTATAGATGCCACCTTTTTTTGTAGACTATGACAGGTAGAAATTCCACATTTAGACTGTCAACTGGACCTAAGTTTTGTCACCCCATCTTGGGCAAAACCACTTAGCTGTGCCGAGGTCGACGTCTTCACTGGCTCCAAGTCCTGCCTTGCAGCAACGCTGAGATAAACGCAGGGGTTACAAAGGGCTGGTTGTAGACTTGGCAATGTCCGGTCATCACTGTCACTTATATAACCAGTGTAGTAAGAGATATGTATATGTGCACACATTCTATTGCATATTATATTATATTATGTTATATTATATTATATTATATTATATTAATATTATATTATATTTTATTTTATTATTTTATATTATATTATATTATATTAAATGATATTATATAATATAATATTATATTATATTATAATATATTATATTATATTATATATATATATATTATGTTTGTGTATTATATCATATCGGTATATGTAGGTGTGTAAGTATATAAATTATATAAGTATATGCAGGTATGAATTTCAATGAAATTGTTGTATTTAAGACAGAGAACATGCACAACCCGAGAAAACCAAGGACGCTTCGCCACGGTTCGCCACTTCGTCCAGTGCAGAGTACTCCCGGCCTGGAAGAATCCGTTGCACCAAGAGCCTTGGCGCTTGATGGCCTCACCTTCATTCTTGGCCAATTAAGACAGTTAACAACCTTTTACCATGCATGTATATAATACAATTCATTCATAATCATTCATATCTTTTATATTATCTATCTATATATCTATCTATCTATTTATTTATTAATTTAGAGTTTAGATGGATGATAAACGGATGGATATCTGAATGTAGACAGATCTGCAGACACGATCACAAGCACTACAGTCACCCGACTTAGGTGCCTTTTGTCCGCAGGGCTTCTCTGAGAGCGTGGCTAAGAAGCGGATCTCCAGGTCTGCAGGTGTTCGATTCCAGACACACACCGTTGAAGTGATGACCAGTACCTGAGCTGTGAGCCAGGTATCGTCTCCAAGATGATTCAAGGCTCATGCAGGGCTCATTCAGGGCTCTACCCCTGGTATGTGACTAATACTCGTGATTTATGATTTGTTATGATTTGTTTAAGCCACAACTCATAAACAAATCTTATATACCTCCGTAGATTCATGTCCTCTCCCACTGTGCCCCCTGGCCAACTGGGGCGGTCTCGGCATCACCAAACGGCACCTGGCTGGATAAACCCAGGAGAACCTGAGGATGGACATGGAAAATATGGAAATTGCTCAAGACTGCCGTGGCTGCAAAAGTTGGTGCCAATCCCTCCAAACAAAAGTTGTTTTTTTATGGTTGATCAGTCTTTGTTCGGAAGCATGTTTTGCAGCTTCAAACATGCCAGAGAGGCATCAAGAAGCCTTCTTTCTTCGTATCCCATGTCACGTCAGCCTCGAAGTACAAAAAACGAGACTTGGCCAATTTTTTTGCCGAGAGCCCCATAATGCACCAACTTATCTTCTCACCACCGTCCCAAAATTGTCAACACCCTGTGAACCTATTGTGTGTTACTGCAATGTAAGGAAATGTAATGTAGTGTAGTGTTGTAATGTAAGTAATGTATATTGTATAATGGTATGCAATGTCATGGTATGTAATGCAATGATATGGCATGGCATGGTACGTATGTACAAAAGATATCGTAGTCGTAAACACGTTGTGGAAGACGATGTGGTATACAGTGTACAGTACCCTCCGGTAACTTAACATAGCTAAGATGATTTACCCATTCAAAAATATGATGTTCCATAGCTATGTCAAATGACCGGAGCATAAACCCACTACTAGACAATCCCCATCAATCCCCAATTCCACCGGAAATGGTTTGTTTTTTAACCATCCCTGATCCTGCCTCGCGGCCATATGGGATTCGGCAGGGTTCTGCATCCTGGAGAGGAAAGGATGCGGGTGGAAGTATCCGCTAATACCATTTAATACCGCTAGTCATGTAGAGCACTGTAGAACTGTCAACAGAGTAGATCATGTTGTATGCACCTGCCTTCACATATCTTCACATCTGTCCCTTGCAAGGTTCTATCCATAATCAAAGGAAGTTTAGGGGGAGAAACTTCCGTGTTACGGACTTTTAGAATGTCAGGGAAAGAGTTAGTCAAAGAAAGAGTTAGTGAGGGAAAGAGTTAGTCAAAGAAAGAGTTAGCAAAGAAAAGTTAGCAAAGAAACAGGTAGTCAGGGAAAGAGTTAATCAAAGAAAGAGTTAGTGAGGGAAAGAGTTAGTCAAAGAAAGAGTTAGCAAAGAAAGAGTTAGTCAGGGAAAGAGTTAATCAAAGAAAGAGTTAGTGAGGGAAAGAGTTAGTCAAAGAAAGAGTTAGCAAAGAAAGAGTTAGTCAGTGAAAGAGTTAGTCAAAGAAAGAGTTAGTCAAAGAAAGAGTTAGTGAGGGAAAGAGTCAGTCAAAGAAAGAGTTTGCAAAGAAACAAGTTAGTCAAAGAAAGAGTTAGTCAAAGAAAGAGTTAGTGAGGGAAAGAGTCAGTCAAAGAAAGAGTTTGCAAAGAAACAAGTTAGTCAAAGAAAGAGTTAGTGAGGAAAAGAGTTAGTTACAGAAAGAGTTAGCAAAGAAATTGTTCCCCTCACTGTAAATGGCATTGCAAGTGGTGCTGGTGGAGGAGTTGCCGATGGAGTTTTGGAGGAAGTCTCGCACGAAATGCGTTTTTGAGAGATAGCAGATGCACGAAAGCCTGTGTTTTTCCATACAAAGTGCGTCCCCGAACGTCGATGATCTACCTCTGCTGTGCGACGGGTGCGAGACGGTCTCGTGTGTGGTCGGATCATGGGCGGATCATGGGCGGATCATGTTCGGATCGGTTCCGCATTGTAAATGGGGTGTCAACTGTTTTTCGTGCATGTGTGGTCGACAGAATTCCATTGTGATTTGCAACTGTAGGATCGTTCCCGCATTGTAAATGGGGTTGCAAGTGGTGCTGGTGGATGAGTTGCCGATGAAATTCCATTGTGATTTGCAACTCTAGGATCGTTCCCTCACTGTAAATGGCATTGCAAGTGGTGCTGGTGGAGGAGTTGCCGATGGAGTTTTCGAGGAAGTCTCGCACGAAATGCGTTTTTGAATGTTTTTGAGAGATAGCAGATGCACGAAAGCCTATGTTTTTCCATACAAAGTGCGTCCCCGAACGTCGATGATCTACCTCTGCTGTGCGACGGGTGCGAGACGGTCTCGTGTGTGGTCGGATCATGGGCGGATCATGGGCGGATCATGTTCGGATCGGTTCCGCATTGTAAATTGGGTGTCAACTGTTTTTCGTGCATGTGTGGTCGACAGAATTCCATTGTGATTTGCAACTGTAGGATCGTTCCCTTATTGTAAATGGGGTTGCAAGTGGTGCTGGTGGATGAGTTGCTGATGGAATTCCATTGTGATTTGCAACTCTAGGATCGTTCCCTCACTGTAAATGGGATTGCAAGTGGTGCTGGTGGAGGAGTTGCCGATGGAGTTTTGGAGGAAGTCTCCCACGAAATGCGTTTTTGAGAGATAGCAGATGCACGAAAGCCTATGTTTTTCCATACAAAGTCCGTCCCCGAACCTCGATGATCTACCTCTGCCGTGCGACGGGTGCGAGACGGTCTCGTGTGTGGCCGGATCATGGGCGGATCATGTTCGGATCGGTTCCGCATTGTAAATGGTGTTTCACCTGTGTTTCGTGCATGTGCGGTCGACAGAATTCCATTGTGATTTGCAACTGTAGGATCGTTCCCGCAATGTAAATGGGATTGCAAGTGGTGCTGGTGGATGAGTTGCCAATGGAATTCCATTGTGATTTGCAACTCTAGGATCGTTCCCTCACTGTAAATGGGATTGCAAGTGGTGCTGGTGGAGGAGTTGCCGATGGAGTTTTGGAGGAAGTCTCGCACGAAATGCGTTTGTGAGAGATAGCAGATGCACGAAAGCTTATGTTTTTCCATACAATGTGCGTCCCCGAACGTCGATGATCTACCTCTGCTGTGCGACGGGTGCGAGACGGTCTCGTGTGTGGTCGGATCATCCTCGGATCATGCTCGGATCGGTCTCGGATCATGGTCGGATCGGTTCCGCATTGTAAATGGGGTTTTAACTGTTTTTCGTGCATGTGTGGTTGACAGAATTCCATTGTGATTTGCAACTGTAGGATCGTTCCCGCAGTGTAAATGGGATTGCAAGGTGTGCTGGTGGATGAGTTGCCGATGGAATTCCATTGTGATTTGCAAGTCTAGGATCGTTCCCTCCCTGTAAATGGTTGCGTCAAGGTTGCTTCGTGCTGTGGCTGCATTTGTAATACTATTGTCTTTTGCAGCTGGATCTCGTAAATCGTATTGGAGTGGCTGCATGAAGGCTGCCACAGTGATTTGTCAGCAGATTTTCTCCATTTTGGCGCTAGTGATTTTCCTTCTAAAAATCCTTTTAAAAAGTGCTTCAAAATCGTCTTTTTTTCGCTCTGGCGTCGAGATCCGGTTTTGGAGCTACAATTTCCGACGCCGTTGCGCGTAGTTCTATTGTGTTTTGCAACTCGGTCTCTGCAGATCGCATCGTAATGGCTGCGTCAAGGTTGCTTCGTGCTGTGGCTGCATTCGTAATACTATTGTCTTTTGCAGCTGGACTTCGTAAATCGTATTGGAGTGTCTGCATGAAGGCTGCCACAGTGATTTGTCAGCAAATTTTCTCCATTTTGGCGCTAGTGATTTTCCTTCTAAAAATCCTTTTAAAAAGTGCTTCAAAATCGTCTTTTTTTCGCTCTGGCGTCGAGATCTGGAGCTACAATTTCCGACGCCGTTGCGCGTAGTTCTATTGTGTTTTGCAACTCGGTCTCTGCAGATCGCATTGTAATGGCTGCGTCTAGGTTGCTTCGTGCTGTGGTTGCATTCGTAATACTATTGTCTTTTGCAGCTCGACTTCGTAAATCGTATTGGAGTGGCTGCATGAAGGCTGCCACAGTGATTTGTCAGCAGATTTTCTCCATTTTGTCGCATTAGTGTTTTTTTTGTTCCACGTAGGTTTAGAGCAGTGTGAAGTGTGGGGCGTAAAGAGTGCAGTGTGAAGTGTGAAGTGTGAAGGAAGCAGTGGGAAGTGAGAAGTGTGAAGTGTGGAATGTGAAGTGTGAAGTGTGGAGTGTGAAGTTTAAGTTTGGAGTGCGAAGAGCGCAGTGTGAAGTGTGAAGTGTGAAGTGTGAAGTGTGAAGTGTGAGGTTTGGAGTGTGAAGGAAGCAGTGAGAAGTGAGAAGTGTGGAGTGTGAAGTTTGAAGTTTGGAGTGCGAAGAGTGCAGTGTGCAGTGTGAGGTGTGGAGTGTCGAGGGAAAGACACGGTCGGGACAGGATGTCTTTGAACTATAGGTCATTTATGTTTGGGAAACTTCCGCCGCCGGCTTGCCCGGGTCTATGTTATGTTTATCCATCAAGCCATGAAGTGGACTCAATGAGCACCAGACCGGACAATCAAGAAGCCGAAGCACCAAGCAGGGCCTATATCAAGCAGGTGTTAGTGCTCCAAACGTGTGGGTCGGGTCTGCTGGGATCTGCTGCGATCTGGGGACGCTGAGGCGGTGGCACAGAGCCGGTTGAGGCCTGTAGTTTTTTTCAAAAAAATCTGGTCATGGATCCTGGAAATGAATGGAAATGAGCCATCAAGGGAATGGATTTGAAGTTCCCCATTTGGTGTCTCCACCCAATCATGCTCACTAGCTTTCCCATGTTGGAGGTCAAAAATATCATCATATCTGTTGGTTGAAATCCATGCGCTTTTTGGACCAAACAATGCCAAACACATGTCCACATGCTGCGGTTCTGAGCTTCAAGCTCGACCTCGTCCTTTCAGCAAGCTGTCGAGGGACTCTGCCTCAACCACATGGCCTCCCTCTGGGATTCACAGGGAACTGGGATGCAGAACCCATCCGGGAATCAACCAAACTTACCAAACATGCATTTGTTTGATTCTTATTTTGTTTGCCGTGGCACACCACACCTGCAGCCTGAGAGAATTTAGACATATTTAGACCATTTTTGCCTATTCAATGGTGAAGTATCCTGTGGAATGAGTGTCGTCTCCGGCCTTGGCCGATGACGGTAGCACCAGCCCCTGCCAGAGAGGAGCTGCAGGGGTGGTCACTAAACGTCTCAAAATCTAACAAGTCTAACAAGTCTTCTAAGCTGTGAGCCCGAAGACCAACAAGATAACAAGATATAACAAGATAACAAGTTGATACTGTAACAAGGGTTTTCCAAAGTTTCTCAAACTCTACCAAAAAAAAAAACTATAAGTGCTGCGTGGGGTCCAAGATCGCCTCCGCGGAGTCTTCCACGCTGACGTGACAGGCGATGCCTGAAATGTTGATGCCTTAGTGAAGCAGGCCACACGGCAGTTCTTCATCCTCTCAAAAATGAGATTTGTAATTTGTAATCTCTACATGACATATATAACTTATATAACAGGTAAATCACCTGCAACCTATCAACATCGATCATCAGTCAACCAAAAGTATGCTCCAAATAAGGGATTGTCCATATCTAATCATCTATCATCTATCATCATAAAAATCACTGGTATATTATATATACAAATAAAAACTAAATAAATAAACTTATCAATACTTATCACATCTTATCACTTCTAACTTGGGCCCTCGGCCTGCGAGCAAGTGCCCGTAGCGCGTCTTCTCGGAGCCTGTTTTTGCGCCGCGCCCGATGATATACGACTCTAATAATGGATCATACTGAATAGTCATGGCTAATAATGGTTAATGTCATGGTTAATATCATGGTTAATGTCATGGTCAATAATGGGTGATACTGGTCATAATGGTTAATAGTGGTATACCTGTTTTTCTTATCCCTCTGATAAGATGTTAATGGGATCTGAATGGGATTTTAATCATCGGAAATGGAAGCTTAATGGAAGTTCACCAAAAATCAAATGGTGATTTAACAACTGATATGGGGATATAGATGTTTCTTCAAATGGGAAATCCCCAAGTCACCATAGGTTTCAAGACTAAAATAGTTAAAATGGTCTAATGACTGACTTGGATGATTTGGGGGTACCCCCATTCTAGGAAACCTCCAATTGGGATCTTTTGAAGTGTGTTTATCATACATTGTATCCTCACAGTGTACAAAGTTCCCAAGAATACTGAAGAACAGGCTGAGCCATGGACTGTCATTGAAAACGCGGCTGGCAAGGTGCACAAATGGAGCACCTAAACAATCCTAAACATTTCTCTGACTCAACATGACGCAACTGCAATTCACCAGTCCATCTCCCAAACAGTGGCGGCTGCACACATCATACAGCTGGACATAAGAGTACCAATGGGTATCAGACGCCAAAAGGCAAGTATAGTATACATTCAGAGGGCGCAACTGACAACGAGCTGAACTGGTTTGATGGCAGAGACCTCAATTCACGAAGGCTGGCAAAGGAGATTGAAACCACTTATGCGTACCCATCTGGCAGTCTGAGAATGGTGCATCTCCTCGCACGAAAACATCACCTTCGCACACATGGCTGAAACAATTGAGGCACAGTGCGCCTGCACACTTTCATTGTTTCGCGATAGAAGTTCTGCTTTCTGGCTGTTCTCTTGGGTACACACGTGGGCCACCATCAGGCTTCCGCTGCATGTGGTACGAAAAGCGGAGGCCTCAGGGTTCCACGCTTCCAACAGCTTCCCGCCCCTGGTTTAGCCCAAAGCCCAGTGCAGACAGCCAGGCTCCAGGCCGCACCGTGACAGCACTGGCTCCCACACTCCAAGCCTGCACAAACCGAAAAAAACTGAAATTAAGCTGTCTCGGAGCTGCGTCCCTGCCTGTGGTTTCTTGAACTGATGTCCACTTCCAACTCTCGGCCTCAAAACGCGGGCAGTTTGAGCTCTGATTCCCGTGAATCTTCGCTTGATGGCCATCAGTGAAAATGTTTATATTATGGGCTGCTCTGAAATTGATAGACAAGAGTGGTGTCACACTCAATCAACTGCTGCTGCAAGTATCACTAAGCTGCGGGCCAAAAATATTGATGGTGGGGGCAGAGCCTTGAAACAGATCTCGATTTATCTTCCTAAAAAAGAGAAAGGGGACAACGCATCCCTCAACAAAAAAAACGCGGCTGATGAAAGCATCAAACAGGCGACAGATGGGAGAAGATGGCGCCTTGACGACTGTCAACCATGACTTGCAGTAGTTGGCACCTTGCATTGCCACAGAGACCGGGCCTCAGGTGACCAGCCCAGCTGGGATGTGCTAAACCACCTTGAAGTGCTACACTGCTACATGGCTTGGGATCACCCAGGCTGTTCCTCAAGAAGATTGGTTACCCTGGGGTCTTGATTTTTGTTGACATATATTGACATAATCTGATCCCAGAACCAAGAGCTCAGCCATTCGTTTCCTCCTTCTTCCCCCATCACTTGCACCTGTTCACCATCTCAGTGAAAAGCAGAAACCATACTGGCTGCTTTCAGAGCACCAAAGCTAGACTGTTTCATCATTTCTTCATCTGATCATCTTGGTGACCAAAAGTCCATGGTTGTCTCCCTTCTTTTGGAAACATTCATCTTTGCGTACCTGACCGAATGAGCCCCTGAAAGAGGATGTCCTGTTAAAGTTATCAGAACCTCCCCCTTTCAGATTTCTTCCCAATGGATTATTTGGCGGTCACTGTTGGCTTCAAGGCCATGAAAATTTGTGTCGCAGCTCGCAACTCACGGGTTGTCGTTGCCTCGGCACCCTGAAGCGCAACTTCAGCGATCAAGGTCATTCTGTTCCTTGGTACTCAAGCAATGTCACGTGTAGATCCCCTCATCAACACTGGCAAATGTTGGAAAATTAGTGTAATAGGTGGAAAATGGTGAAAATGAGATGAACATCAAGTGCTGAACAATGACAACCATCGCAGGAAACGAAAAAACAAACATCTGACGGAGGAGTTCTTGCGCTGGACGTCTCTAAACACATCACCGAGGCGCTCCACCAATTGCAGAGCCAGTGGGTCTCGGCCTCGATTTTAGGTGGTCATGTGGCTAGCATCCAGAGGAAAAACGAGAACAATTGAGCTCGTGTAGATAATCCAAGTCTGCGCTATATAGTTAGGTTGTATCGGATATGTTCGGATCATTCGTGATGATTGATGATTCAGAACTCCACTTGTAGTTGGAAGTAAGGGGGCCCTCACTGCTGCGGCGTGCATTAGGCGTCCAACTTCGGGTTTCAGAGGCAGGCTCTGACGACTGACAGGTGCGGCTGAACATTGCTGGATGCAAAGCGAGCGACTTCCAAACAGCGTAAATCGCAAAAATCTGCAAAAGTAGGGAGGCAAATCGATCAGTGGGCACTGTGTTGATCCGAGATAGCGCCACATAATTGAAACGCCCGAAGTTTACAGAGAAAGCGGATGCGAAAAACAGCACAAGTTCCTGATCAAAGTGATCAACAAGCCTCAAAATTGAGCCCCATAAAACATCATAAAACTAGAAAAAAACACCGTGGCCTCCGCATCCATGCCGAAGAGCTCCAGGAAGGCGTTGGCCATGGCTCGATGGTCTCTGGCGGACATGCGAATGGAATATGGCCTTAGGCTCCGCTGCTGGAATGCGGCGTGGCCAACTCTGCAGGCTGGGGAACAGGCGGGACGATCACAGAGCGGAACTCATAGGTAGTGTGACGCCTAGGAACCAAGAGCAAAGTGGGCACCTGAAGACCCTGACGTGAGACACGCAAAATCTCGATTCGTTTCTGCTTAGGCTAAGAGCAGGCTGATGTCACTTCATGTCACTTCATGTCACTTCACAACTGACATTCACAGTTGCAGTGCGCTGAATGCTCCCGGCTTCATGCGAGCTCCATCATCTATGCGTTTCTGGTCTCCACGCACCAGCCATTCTAAGCCTCCGGGGCCAGCAAATCTCAAGCACTCTGATGAGTTCTCATGCCATTATTGCCTGTGCTGCTCGGCTTGTCCATGTCTAGACTTGATCCAAAAGTTCTCCCTCTATTCCCTTCGGGTTTACAAAAATCAGAGCGTACTTTGCATCATGCTTTGCTCATGCGATGTCACCAGCCAATGCCGGTAGATCCATAACACCTGAAACCCCGAGGGCTGCACAAGGACACAGTGTAGTCGGATTCCGCCTCGAGATTCATCACCCCTTGCTAGCACCCATTTCAACCCTCCAGAATTGGAGCTGCACCACATCCTAGTATGCAAGACATTTGATTCGAAGCCTGAGGCCCTATACATCCCTATACTATCATCCAAATGGCGCCCAACTCTTTGGCTGGAACCCCAAGTGCCTGGAGGAAAAGAGCCGCAAGGCCCCACTTTCCAGGTCAAAGCGCTCGATGCGGATGCCCTGGGAAATCACTGCGCGGCATCATCGCAATCAAACATGACCACCGCCAAAATCATCAGCAGCAGCAGTAGCAGCATCAATCAATAACAAGGGTATGCAAATTGAAGGCTTGGAGGGTCACAAATTCTGGCCATGTTAGATAACCTTAATCCATCCTGATTTTTGTTCCCAATTTTGACCCATATCTCTGCAGCGATCATATTTCTGCAGCACCCTTGTGGATCAGATCCACCATGATCCACCTCTGCATGAACCATGATGTGGATCATCACGCTGCCAGCGAACTCGAAGTGCTCAGTGGGCTCAGACCACCTGAAGTGGGAAGCATCCAAACAGTCCTTCGCGTGTTTGCCGACATTGCAGTCACAATGATGATCATAATTTGATAATACGAATTGCTAATTAAGGAGAATCATCGGAGAATAGTAAGAAGAATGATGACGATGATGATCATGACGACGATGCCCAGCCTGCACAAAACCTACATGTCTCTACACTTCACAACTACTGTTCTGAGCATCCGGCTTCTCAGCGATGCGGAAGCATCCGTCCAAGAAATTGACCTCCCAGGACTGCTTCGATGCCGATCAACAAACCACGGTTGATTAAAAAAATGGCCTTCCAACAAAATAGCGATTATTGCACAATAGATCCTACTAAATTGCAAAGTATATCACACGATATCATCATGATCATGCTGCATATTTCTGCATGTAAACATAATATTTAAGCCACCTAAAAATGCCTCAAGTGTCCGAAAGCTCCATATGTTACCGACACCTGCACCCGAGTGCCACGTTTGTCCACGACCTTCTGCTCATTCTCGCCTGGAGTGCTGTCGCTCTTGATGTTCAGTGGTGAAATCAATGGTAAAATCATAAATGGGGTCTGAAGATAGAATGACCAATAGGATCCAATAGGAGCAATAGGAAAATGATGACAAACCATTGGATTTTGGGGTAGCCTGATGATAGTTGTTTTGTTAAGTAGAGTGGCCGGTGTTCGAATGCCATGTTTATCACCTGCAGAGGGTCCATGCTTTCCATTTTCGAGGTCCAGGCGGGTAGCTGGTGCCTGTGGGGCCAACATCACGCGATCATTCCGAAAGGTGCAGTGCCTTGGAGTTCTGAACTTCGTGGCGCGTGAGAATTCGCATCTGATCTTTATCTGTCAACTAACCTCATGTAATCAAAACTTCAAACATGACAATGGATGAAAATATGGGAAATGGTCGAATTCTCATGGGCAAATCATCTACAAACAAACAGTTTGAAACCATGATTGATGGGGAAAATATGGGAAAATTCAGGGATGTTCCATTGCCAGGTGACATGCCATTAGGCGGCTTCATTAAGGCGGTGGCTGCCAGGATGACAGGCCAACGGTCACCAAGTCCATCACCTAAACGGTGTGTAGATGACTTTCCTAGGGGAGCCCATGGATTTCCATATTTTTTTTACACCCTGAACCTTTTTCTTTGCAGAAAAATGCACAAAACCTATCAAGAACTGACATAATACATGGGTAATACATCATTCTGCTCATGGCTCAAGGATGTGTAAAATATGGTTTTTTCCATGTTGTTTCCCATGGCTTACCCTTCGCCTTAGCCCGATTTTGGGATGATCCCCAGGGATCACTGTTCGGCGCACCAGCTGGGGAAGGACGTGCATGGTGGGTTTCTGCAGCTGGATGACCTTGGATCTGCTCTGCATGACTGGCATGACATGAGTGGATTGCAGTTGACATGGCTGAAATGTTTGCTGAAATAATTTACCCTCGTTGTTTCGTGTCCTGTTTAGTGATTATTTTTTGCTGTTCGCACCTATGTTCTGGTTGATCTCAGCTGCTGTTCAGCCAAGCGGCAGCCAAGGTGTCCCTGTCCATGGGCACATTGACCTCCACGGTGAAACCCAGGTCATCAGTTGAGCCCGCAGACCTCTGAGCTGTCGTCAACATTTGGGATATCCCAACTTTCAATGGAAAATAATGGAAACATCTACAGGAAACCTATGGGATTTTTCACCATTCATGGGCCCGGCTCCTGCAAATTGTCCATCATCCAGGGCTGGGAGAGTTGAAGTGGTTGGAATGAAGAAATACTGGGAATTAAAGCCCCACATTTGGGTTTTTGTTGAGAATGGGCTGCGCCAAAACCATTCGTTTCCACTTTCCCTGTAGAAAATGTGATAGCTTGGATGATTTTGGGGTCATTGCTTTAAGAAACACCCGCTTTCTCGGGGTCTATATAATTCCTTTCCCTCCAGAATCTGCTTCTTTTGACAAAGTCCTATGACGCAAATATTGTCCAATGGGACGGCATTGACCATGCCCCAGTTCTTTGGATATGATACGCAGAAGCCCATTGTGCCTACGCAAGTTTCCATGTTAACACTGATTTCCCGTGGCCACATTTGATTTTCAGAAGGTACTGGAGGTATCAATGATTTTTTCTGTCATAACAATCTGATCATCTGGCAGCATCTGGGCGTCCATGCTCCAACAAGGTTTTCACCAAGTTCCGCGAGCGCCCACGGGTGTCAATGGCCTCATCGCGTACAACATCGTACGGCGTACAGCAGGTCCAAAGTCCAACAGGTTGGTTCTGGACGAGGCTCCAACTATCAGTGACTGGCAGTTCAACTGGTAGTTGGACCTGGAAACACGGGCAGTTGCAGAGCAAACTCTCCAAAAAATGTCAAAACATAATTAATTACATTACACGACATGAACTTTGCCCCAAAAAGTGAGGCCATAGTGAGGCCATAGTGAGGCCATATGAGGCCATCAACCTGGGGGTTCTTTCCATGCTTCTGAGACCTCAGGTGTGCAGGTTGGGTATCCGGACCCTCCGGGTAAGCTGCTGAAGCCCAACATGCCACCGCGAAGCTTCAAACATGCCAATGGAGCTGCCTGGCAAGGGCAGGATGGTGCAACCAAAAACGAAAGGCGGTGAAAACTGCCACCAAAACTGTGGCCAACTATTGCCTGTGTGAAGGCAATGTCCCACTTCAGCTCGCCAGGCCACCTGGTTGCCGGCAACCAGTGTGATTCGATTCACGTTATTCCTCGCTCTGTCTGTCTGTCTGTGTGTCTGTCTCTCTGCATATCTGTCTTGCCCAAAAACCCGTTGGGTTTTGCGTGTCACTTGTTGCCTCCAGGAAAAGCGAAAGCCACGGATCTTGTTCTTGGTGTTGCCACCTGCAAACAAAAAAAAGTTGCCAGTATCATCCCTTCCACTTAAGCATGACCAGAAACCCTGTTTACTTGGCGGATCTGTTTATTTCTAGAGTCCCATGTGCAGTAGGGGATCATTGTTAAGTTGGTGTATTTCATCATATGTCCGATGTAATTATTTCCATGTTCATTGGATTTCTCACTTCCCACAGTTTTCACGATCAGATATGATGATGATGTTCTTTTCCCTGAATGTTCAACAAACCTCCCCCTATCCCTCTACCGGGGGCATCTGGAAGATAGAATCTGCAGACAAGTCTCATTTCATCTGCCCCAGCCGAAACCCTGGCCTTGCGATACCTGTCGTTGCACCGGCACCACGCCTGCCAAACAAACCGCGACGTGGATGGCACGGCGCGTTATGATATCTCTGTTTAAATGCCCATACCAGTAGTACCGCACAAGGCGGTGGCGGAAGTTTCAAAAATAGGAAACCTATAGGAGAGATTGGTGGTTGTGAATCAAGGATGGCTGAGCGAAGCCACTGATGGACTGAAGGGTGGTTGAGGTCTCCTCTCTTTCTCTCTCTTTCTTCTCTTTCTCTGACTATCTACCTACCTACCTACCTACCTACCTATCTATGTTTCTATCTATCTATCTACCTATCTATCTACCTATCTATCTATCTACCTATCTATCTACCTATCTATCTATCTAGCTGTCTATCTATCCATCTATCTATCTATCTATCTAGCTAGCTAGCTAGCTAGCCATCTATCTAGCTATCTATCTATCTATCCCATCTGTCTATCTAACTATGTATCTATCTACCTATCTATCTATCTATCTATCTATCTATCTCTCTGTCTGCCTGTCCGTCTATCTATCTACCTGTCTATCTGCAAGCTTGAAAACGAAGCTATTCTGCGAGACATCCTCAGGTTTTGAACTTGACAACATCAAAAACGCAGCAATTCTGCGAGACTTCCTCAATCTTTGAACTTAACAACGTCAAAAACGAAACAATTCTGCGAGACTGCGTCATTTTTCAAAGTTGATAACATCAAAAACGATGCAATTCTGCGAGACTTCCTTCAAAAATGGAAAGTTGCGTGCAGCGCTGACGGTCTCGTACCAATGCGTTTTGCGATTTTTCCAATCCATCTGTCTAAATTGCTGCGCCTGCCACGAAAAAGTGATGCCAGGTCATACGAAGTGCTGCACCTGTCACTCAAAATGACCTCAGCAAACCTGAAGATCTCAGGCTCCAAAATGCAACCCCTCTCAGGAAATCAGCGCCCGGACCTTCTAACAGCTCTGATGAACATGTCTCTTGTGCTGCACCTGCCACGGAAAATGCATCTTTGCAGATCCTCTTCAAATGTCCCACGCCTCCCGTCGTTTTTGGAAATGATAGAAAACCCTAACGGTTTGCTCACTTTTGACAAGGTGCACAATCCCCTGCGCCTGCCACGCGAAACGACATCTCAACGTCCAAAAGTGGCGCGAACATGTAGTGCTTTTCATATTTTGACTTCGAAACGTGCTTCGCGCCACAACGGCGTGCACTTCTTCGACATCTCAACTTCCAAAAGTGCTCCGAACATGAAGTGTTTTTTAGCTTTTTCACTTGCAAACACGCTTCTCGCCACAAGGGCGTGCACTTTTTCGACATCTCAACTTCCAAAAGTGGTCCGAGAATGGTGTGCTTTGTACATTTTGACTTCGAAATGTGCTTCGCGCCACAACGGCATGCACTTTTTCGACATCTCAACTTCCAAAAGTGGTCTGCTTTGTACATTTTGACTTCGAAATGTGCTTCGCGCCACAATGGCGTGCAATTTTTCATCTCTCATCTGGCCAGATGGCTCCGCACCCGCCGCTGTAGCGAGCCTACTTTTCGACCCTCCGGAGCCACAAATCATTGGAAAAACACAGTGTTTCGCGACTTTCCTACCTTTTCGCGCATCTGCATCTTCTTTCTTCTGACTCTTTCTCTTCTCTGACTCTTCCCATCTCTGCTTTTCATCTGTCCATATTGTCGGAAGTTTGATTTCTAAACTTCCCTCAAACAATAGAACAGCACAGTATATGCATATTATATAATATATTATGTTATTCCTATTAGATTATATTATATTATACTATATCATCTATATATTTATATTTATATTTATATTTATATTTATTTATTTATATACTTATATACTTATATATATATATATACATTATTTTTGATATGTTCATATATTGTATATATATATATACTATATATATATATAGCATATATATTGTACCAGCCTGTATAACCCAGAGAAATAATTCAAGAATACGCAACATGGGATTGAAATAAGCCAGCCGTACCCCAGTTACAGTACTATTCATGTGTTAATCTTCACCCCAGCAGTGGGTTGTCAACACCCCGGGCCTCCAGCCACAGAGCCAGAACGCCCAGCATAGCCTGCCCCAGAGATGGTGATACCCCACAGCACTTGCGCAAAATCAACTTGGATGTGCATCCCATCCTGCTTGGTTTAAGCCCCCAACTGGTGTTAGCCCATGGATATCTGGCTTCCAATCCATTCTTAAGGATTAAGGACTTGCCCTTTGGTAATCTAACTAGGAAAACCACCATTTTCAATATCAATATATATATATATCTCTGTGTGTGTGCGTGATTATATATCTATATATACATATAGTGTGTGTGTGGGTAGGTATGTAAATCATCTGCAAACAGACCATTTTCATCCATTTTCGCTAATGCGAATTTACCCTTCAGGTACCAACCAAGGCACAAATGTTTTCGGCCAGGACATCCAGGAGTAGGCTAAGCCTTGGTTCTGGCCATCCTAGGCGGATGGATGTGATTGCTATGGCCTGGCATAGATTGCCCATTCATAGATGTTTTGCCCATAAGAAATGATGCTTTTTCCATTTCAAACTGTTTGTAAGAATCATGTAGGATCATCTTGATCACTGGTTGGTTTACAAATCGGCTTAGTCAATTTCAAACAAAAGTGCCATCTTGATAATCATATAATTTTCATATAATCAAATACCATACAACTTTTTGTGGGTGGCAATCAGCTAGGGTCTATGTTTGTGAATCCTGGGCTGACAGGACAGGTCTTGATAAGCTGATGGCATCCACTCAGCACAGTTGGGCGATCACAGAACAGTTGGGCTGCGCGGGCTTCAGTCTGAAAGGATATATGGTCGCTAAGATTTTGCATAATCCGTCTAAATCAGCTGCGCCACTTCTTTGGCTTACACTACCACAGGTCCAAGCAAAAACAAAGACGCAGACAATTTCCAACAGTTCCAATTCCCTCAAGATCAGCATACAACCCCCAAGCAACAATCACCCATCAAGGATCCTTCCTTACCATTCTTCAGCAACTTGATAAATCTAATCAAAGACCTTCAAATTCCCCAGGCCTCCGGACTGTCCACGCGTCAGCGACATGTGGTGATCCACAACGCCCTCACCATCTGCTTCCATGGACACGGCATGAAATTCCACGGGCCTGGGAGATGGCTGTGGAAGTTTCTGCGCCGGATCCCTTGCCGGGAAAAACCAAAGTGGAAGGATTTCGGACATGTCTTTGTTGAAATATGTTGAAATCTGTTGAAATCTTGGTTGCCATGTTGCAGTCCAGAAATGGTGTCCCGTTACATATTTCACCTTCCAACCTGCTGTTGGGAAGCCCAAAAGGAAACCGTCCGCGCTGAGCCAGTAGGCCCATCAGCTGGGGTCTCGAGGACAGCCTGGAGACCTGAAATTCTGCCAAGATTTCTCTCAAAATAATGGGTTGGGCGCCGTTTCCAGTCGCATCTCCATGGGTATTATGGCAAACGAGACTAGATGTGTCAATGAAAAGTTGAACCGTCGACTTGGCGCAGTCAAGACGTGAGTAGCAGGTTGGCTTGAAGGGCACGGTGCAATCCCAACGTTTAATCATGTTTATATAATCCATATCAGTTGTGCTAGTCATCCCATGAAGGAGCTATAACCTTTGAAACATGATTGAAACCCCAAAGCCAGGGCAATGGTTCGCTCGTGTGGCCTCCCCATTTCCTGCACATCTCAGTTGCACGCTCACAGGCCAAAGAAGCTCGCTGGAGTGTCTGCCTTCGACCTCTGCAAAGAAAATGAAAGGAGCTGAAAGGAGGAAATCTCAGGGCCTCCGCGCCTTGGAAATCCCTTATACATGTCATATATGTACAGCACATGTACAGTACACATATGATATAAGCTCTATATTACATATATAATTATATATATATACACATCAAGGAGGAGATACCAATGGCCACAGGCTTTTTGCAAGCCACATGCTTCGTGCCCTGCTACGGCTGGGAACGGCTTGGGTGAAACAGAAACTTCTCCTGGTGCGGACGGCACAATTCATTACGTGCCTTCCCGCCCACTATCCACAAGTTCCAAGACAGCTCTGACTCGGGCTTCCAAGTTGGCCTGAAAAGCCGCAGCCGCCGCACTTGCAGATGAAGTCAGAAAAGGTGATAAAATGTGATACACATCCACCTATAGGATCGTATAGGCCTGCACCCATGCTATACACATGTGATGTTGCTCTGCAGAGTCACCGAACAAACGACCCAGCCAGTGACTTTGATGATGTAAACTAGTTACGAAGCTTTCACGGTTTTCAGTGCAGTAACTCATCCCATTCAATGCGCGAATCCAAGGCTGACCCCAGGCCCTTTGTCTTAAGGCCGGTGGAATATCGCAAAGTCTGAGGATGGGACATTCTCAAAGCAGCAATCTTCAATGAGCTGCTCAAGGTGCAGGGGAGCCATCTTCACTGCAGCATCCTAGAGCTGGGAGCTGGAGCTGCGAGGCTTTCTGGGAAGCCTTTCTTCAAGATTGACTCATCAAAAAAAAAAAACTGAACTTTGGTGAACCGCCGTGAACCGCACATTGTTGCAAGTACAGTTGGGTCTCAACTGTTGTCCAAGGACTTCAAGGACTGCTACAGGAGCAACTCCATAGAGATCGGTCTGGAAGCATCGTTGGTCTCAGGCCTTCTGACTCAGCAGGTTCGACAGTTCCTCTCTCCTAGTAGCAGCGACGCAAATTCAACCTATGCAAAAAGATACTGGAGTCAATTAGCAGCAATGGAACGGCAAATGCAAGAGCGCTTGAATCTTCTTGAAACCATCAGCGAGAGTAGAACATGTTGTTTGACTGTTTTGAAAAGAGTTGACCATTGGCCTCCAAGCCTACAATGTCACAAACATCATCAAACATCGAGGTGGACAGCAAAGATGACCCTGCGGAAATATCACCTTTATGATTAAAGCAGCTGTCAATTTGTCGATATCTGAATCACCTTTGCTATTTATGAGCAATGTATAAGCCATGTACAAATAAAGCATAGGTTCCTTAATAGGTTCCTTAATTACGTTACACCATGTCCTGTGGCTTTGCTTGTCTCTAGATAATTGCACGTTTCACATAGATACAATCCCACACTATTGGCCACTTCACCATCTTGTCAATTTCTTAGTGGTAAACTTACTATAGTCAATAAACAGTATTTTTCCTTACGGTGTCATACCCATCTTATTCCCTGCGCTCTTTCGGCTCCTGGCAGCGTGTTTGCTCTTCATCTGGATGTGTTTGGCCGCTGCCACGGTGGCATTATTCAAGGCGGCCGCTCCTGAGCCTGCTAAGACCTCCTCCAACTTGTGGAGTGCCTGCCAAGAAGGAGGGGCAAATCGTTTCTGGTTAGGCCTGGGCCAGATGTAAATGGTAAATAGATAAGCATAGATAAACTTGAGAGGGGGAACACGAAAGGTAGGTGAGCAAGAAAGGAACCGAAGAAAAAACGAAGGGGAGAGGGCAAGGGAAAAAACATGAAGTGGAGTCTGATAAAAGCGACGCGGCCATTTTCTCTCTAAAAACAAAAAGTGGAGTGTGGTAAAAGCGACAGGAAGGCTTCGGCGGTGTGGTTGGGGTTGGTGGTGGTTGTGGTGTGGTGTTGTTGATGTTGTTGGTGTTGTTGTTGTTGTTGTCGTTGTCGTTGTCGTTGGCGTTGTCGTTGTCGTTGTCGTTGTCGTCGTTGTTGTTGTTGTTGTTGTCGATGTTGGTGTTGGTGTTGGTGTTGGTGTTGTTCTTGTGGTTGTGATTGTGGTTGTGGTTGTCGTTGCTGTAGTTGTTGTTGTTGTTGTTGTTGTGGTTGTGGTTGTGGTTGTGGTTGTTGTTGTTGTTGTTGTTGTTGTTGTTGTTCTTGTTCTTGTTCTTGTTCTTGTTCTTGATCTTGTTCTTGTTATTGTTCTTGTTGGTGTTGTTCTTGTGATTGTGATTGTGATTGTGGTTGAGATTGTGGTTGTGGTTGTGGTTGTGGTTGTTGTGGTTGTCGTGGTTGTCGTGGCTGTCGTGGCTGTTGTGGTTGTGGTGGTTGTGGTGGTTGTGGTGGTTGTTGTGTGTTGTGTGTTGTGTGTGGTTTGTGTTGTGTGTTGTGTGTGTTGTGTGTGTGTTGTGTGTGTGTGTTGTGTGTGTTGTGTGTGTTGTGTGTGTGTTGTGTGTGTTGTGTGTGTTTTGTATTGTTTTGTGTGTTCTGTGTGTTCTGTGTGTTGTGTTGTGTGTTGTGTGTTGTGTGTTGTGTTGTGTGTTGTGTTGTGTTGTGTTGTGTGTTGTGTTGTGTGTTGTGTTGTGTGTTGTGTTGTGTGTTGTGTGTTGTGTTGTGTGTTGTGTTGTGTGTTGTGTTGTGTTGTGTGTTGTGTGTTGTGTTGTGTGTTGTGTTGTGTGTTGCGGTGTGTGTTGTGGTGTGTTGTGGTGTGTTGTGGTGTGTTGTGGTGTGTTGTGGTGTGTT